TTAACTGTCACCCCCCATTTTTTAAAATAGGCATGAAAGTGCACTATCCAAACTTAAATTGTTGTAATTTATGAACACTTTGGAATACAGACCTAAGGTTGGTCTCTTTGTAGAGAAGAAAATCAGCAGATTATTGCAAAAGTGGATTTTTTTTTCAAAAAATGTAATTATCAAAAAGTGATAGAAATTTACATTTGCTGTAAAAAAAAAAAAATGCACTATACTAATTTTATTTTATTTTATATATAATAAATATTTTACATAACAGGTTTTACTCTAAAATTGGTATAAAATTAAAGCCTTATGTCTAAATAATATATGTTCCAAATTTGAAGTTGATATGAAAAAAATTGAGGTTCCTGTGAGATTTTATTTAAGGCTTTATACCACAAACAGCCACCGGGTGCCATCCAAATTCCATTGATTTTTTTTTAATGCATTTTTCTGTCACAAATATCTAGATTTCTCTGTCAATATTACTTTTATCTCAAAATATGGAGTCCTGTGACTCAGACCTTTCCAATGATATGTTTTTGTCAAGATTATAAAAAGGTTTGATTCTAAAAGACCGTAATGCATTTTGTAATATGACACTTGACACCACCCACTAAGGGGGAGGAGACCGCCAAAAGATTTTAAAGTACCATTTCCATGGTAATGCAATGTCCGATATGGTTTTCACAGGATGAATCTTGGGGTTCTAAGCTTTCAAATGATATATAATTTATGATGATTACTAAAAGATTTGATAGAGAAAAAGGACAACAAAAAAGAGAGCCAAGCGTTGGTGACAGTTAAGGGCAATGCAAATAGTACATAGACTGGTAGTCTCTAGAAAAAAAGAAAAAAAAAACAAAAGAAAAAGTTCTTCCATAATTTCTCATTGTAATTTCATTTGTGTCTGGCAAGATGGCTTCGCCAGATGCGCTGACAGTTAATATACCTCTTTTATACAGAGGGAGACCATCAGGTTTAATCAAGTAAGTTGTCATGGTGACGTGCTCAGCCTTCCAACAGAGCGCTGAGTTCCTCTAGATGTACAGGAGGAGAATGGACACACTGAGAGACAAAAAGGCAGACGTTTCAGAAATATAGGATTATATTTGACTGACCAGGTGCAAATCATGGGTAACCTAATAAAGGTTTTAACCCCAACAAAATTGTTTGTGTTCTTATGAAATATACTACTGTGCACAACAATTTCAAATAGCTCTTTTCTATTTTAATACATTTTAAAATGTTGTTTATTCCTGTGATGTTAAGGCTGAATATTCAGCATCCTTTACTCCAGTCTTTAGTGTCACACGATCCTTCAGAATTCATTCTAAAATGCTGATTTGCCGCTTTGTACTAGCCATGAATTAACTGAAGTCTCTTGGAATGGGTTGCAGAGCTGCTCATGCAGAGAGTTAGTGTTTGTAGTCCTGGGAAAGACAGTCGCTGTTTGTGTTGTCTAGACAGTAATCTTTTAAAAACAGATTTGTAACTCAGCTGCTGACAACACAGACAGGCTGGCAGCATCAAGGCCACATGCCAGTATCTCTTTTCCTCAGTCTCCCTCACTCACTGCCTTCCACCTTTTTAGATTCTACAAGATTATTCAATCGAAAACACACATGCATAGGCAGCTTGGTAAAACACTTGTGTCTTTCCCTCGTTTGTAGCACCTCTCCATCTCCAATGGAAGTATTCAAGTGGATGCTTCATTCATGCAAACACTGTGGAATGTTCAACCTACCTGCTCCAGAAGCAACATGGAAGTGGGTGAGTTCAAAAATCAAAATGTATTACTTTTGTCTTGCTGTACTAGTTTTAAGAGCACAATTGATATTAGGAATTGTCTCACTGTTCCCTTGTCTCTGTAGGATTTCTTCTGGGTGGGCATGTGACACGCTTGTTCCATGGGCACGACGAGAGCCTCACCATACCAGGATCCGAGCAAAGCCAAGAGCAACAGAGGTGAATCTATCTATCTATATATCTATCTATCTATCTATCTATCTATCTATCTATCTATCGTTCTATCGTTCTGTCGTTCTGTCGTTCTATCTATCGTTCTGTCGTTCGTTCGTTCGATCTATCTATCTATCTATCATCTATCTATCTATCTATCTATCTATCTATCTATCATTCTGTCTTTCTATCTATCTGTTTCTATCATTCTCTTTGTAAGGCCTATAAACCTTCAAAGTTCAAGGCTTTTTGAACTCTTTCAAAGCTTTCAGTAAAGCCCACATCCACAAAGCAAACTTTATATTTCTATTGAACATTCACACACACACACACACACACACACACACACACACACACACACACACACACACACACACACCCTTTGGGTTGCAGTAAACTGCAGTAAATTTTTGATGACCCAGACTTGTTGTTCCTCCTCTGTCTTTTCCAATTATGCCCAAAAGGGTAGTTCAAAGTCAGGTCAGTGAGCAGTGCATCTAATCCATGACTGTTAGAAAATTGAAAAGTTTCCTAATCTTCTGCAAAGGCCTATCAATTGATTAAGCATTAAAATGGTTAACAACTCATATTTAATGGATTGTGTGGAAAATGAAAAAGATGCATACTCACAGGGGAGTCTTTTTCTTGAATTGTAGCTGGAGCGGGAGTCACATCAGATGGGGTCAGCCCTTCCGCCTACGCCATCTCTCCACCGGTCACTACCTGGGCCAGACAGAGGACAATGGCCTGATACTGCTGGACAGAGAGAAGTCTGACACCACTGCAACAGCCTTCTGTTTCCGGTCAAGCAAGGTTTGATCCATTTATTTTAAAGTTGTCCACAGATTAAAGAAATATAAGTTAAACTCAACCGACAGCATTTGCAGCATAATGTTGATTACCACAACTTATTTTGATTGGGTTACATTGAAGTGAATGGGCCATTAGTAAACGTTAAAGTACCCACTGTTTCAATAGTGGAGACACAGTATAGGGTATGTGTTAACACGAATTCTTACGTTTTCTGTATAAAGTTGCATCCAGTTTTAATATTTTATGAAATTATACCCTAGTAAAAAAGTAATATATATAAAATACATTTCATACTAAGTATAGTTCAAATCTATTAACATATTTACTGACATTGCTCGAGACTTACTGCAAAAAAAATTATAATTAAGCTTTATTTGGAGTGCTACTTGTGCACAATGCATATTTCTTATTATTAAACCTAAAATGTGTTTTAATGTCACTACTGATTAGGATTGTATGATCTTTGAATAATATCGGTCTTTAAATGCAAGTTATTTAAAGTGTACCTGAATACTTAGTTCCACTTTAGCACAATCAAACATTTTTGTTGTTAAATTTCCCCCAAAAATGTCCACTGTAAATGCCTCTTCCTGATTTTTACGTTTCTAATTTTTTTTTTGCTAATCAACATTATGACTCAGCTTAACTTATACTGAACCAGTAACATTCCTTAAATTTAATAAAAAAAGAAGTAAATCAGATGAATCAATGACTTTCAGAGCTACACCGCATCAGCAGTTGGACAAATTGGCTTGATTAGATTGTAGCCCTGCTAGTCAGTGCTTAGAGTCTGTAATTGCTACATCTGTTTCTCAATTACTAATCCGCAGTGCATTATTACTGTTTATTGGAGTTTCATTAGCCCTGCTCTGCTGCAAAAAGCAGAGAGGTCACAAACCCAGCTGTCCTACTGTCTATTTTATCTCAGTAACACTTAAAATAGGCTCACAAAATTATTGACTGTGACTGTCCAAACTGAACAGATGACAATAGTTGGCACAGCAAAGGCAGGACTCATGCGATTTGTCTTTCCCTTCGCAGGAAAAGATTGACTCTGGCCCAAAGCGTGATATTGATGGTATGGGGGTCGCAGAGATCAAATACGGCGATTCCGTCTGCTTCATCATGCATGTGTCCACGGGCCTGTGGCTGTCCTACCAGGCGCCTGATGCCAAATCTTCTCGCCTGGGACCACTGAAGAGAAGGGTAAGAGATAGTGTCCTTGTGGTCACGATTACATGATTACAACAACTTTGAATGGCACGTACATCTTTAATGACATCATGTGCTGTAAGTTATGATCCCGTTAAAGATTATGGGGCTCACAGGATGGTCTAATGTTGGCTCAAGCTTAACCGCAGTGGCTTCTGTGTACTGTAGAGTGTAGGATATACGAGGCCATGGTTTAAATGTGATAATGAGGTAGGCATGGTGACAGTGTGTTTTTGGGGAGTGGTCAGGATTACACGTTCACACGGACTGCACATCTTTCCAGCGCTGTGGTATGCAGCTTAAGGCTGGGCTAAAGGCCAGAAGAAGCATGCCACCTTTACGCACAGCCCAGGCAACTTTGGTGACACTCGATTCGATTTTCACTACGAAAATATTGAACCAATCTTTCATTTTTTTTCATTTTTTGTAGTCTACTGGACAGACTCTGCCATTTATGTGAGGAGGAGGTGCCAAGTTGAAGATAAAACCCAAAGACAATCTGTCCAATTGCTATAGAGAAGAACTGATAAACATAGCAATCGTTGACAAGGACACTTTTAGGATGTGCATTAATCACAAAATATTAAGCAATATTTTCAAAATTGTTAATAATAAGAAAAGTTTCTTGACCATTAAATCAGCATATTAGAATATTTTCTGAAGGATCATATGACACTGAAGGCTGCTGAAAATTCAGCTTTGCCATCACAGGAGTGAATTACATTTTTAAGTATATTAAAATATAAAACAGATATGTAAATTTGTGATAATATCTCATAATATTGCTATTTTACCAAAATATTTTTTCAAATAAATACGATATTGATAAACATAAGATACTTTTTAAAAATCTTATCCACTTCAAACTTTTGAACAGTAGTGTATTATAGCAACATTGGTGGTGGATCGATGTGGGATTTAAAATGGCCAGTGCTGATACAGATACAGTATCTGCAGAGCAGAGTGACTGGCATAATCTGATATACTGTGGTGTACAAAATTCTGGGTCCAAATTGAAAATCTGCGATGCAAGATTGAATTAAAACATAAAAAATAAACAAAATTACAAGGTAAAATAAAAAAATTCTGCAGTAATATCTTGGTCAGATTATTATTAAGCAGAAATATTACAAATATGAATACTCTGAAATTGGTTAGAGAAAAAACTTTTATGGTTCGAGATCAGTTCCAAGTCAGCTGTTATACTTGCAGTGAGTGTTAATGTACATTTATGATGTGTGCAGGCTGTCCTGTCTCTTGAGGGCCATATGGATGACGGGCTGACTCTGCAGCTTTGCCAGCACGAGGAGTCCCGGGCAGCTCGCATCATTCGTAACACCACTCGCCTCTTCACTCAGTTCATCAGGTACAGCAGACCCAAAGGCTCAAATGCAGCCTAGTACAATACAAATGTTCGTCCCATCGTAAGCGAGTGCCATTTGGAACAAGAACACTGCAAGACTAGTGCATTATTACATTTCTGATGTTTAGTATTAAAATATTTAAAAGCATCAAATAATTATTGAAATAAATATTTCTAATTTGAATATTATTTTCTTTGTCTCAGGGGTCTGGATGGTTTGAATGGGGAGAAGACTACAGAGGTGACACTGCCTGTGTGTGAAGTGCTGCAGACACTAGACGACCTCATCGTGTACTTCCAGCAGCCTGACTCTGAGCTCGAACATGAGGAGAAACAGAGGCAGCTCCGATCTCTCATCAAGCGCCAAGATCTCTTCAAAGAAGAGGTTAAGTACAGCTCAAATGTGTCATGTTAGACTCATGATCATGGGTGTCGCTAGGCCATTTTTAGGGGGGTTATAGCCCACCTAAAATGACTACTCAGCCCCCCTAAAAATTTTGCTATTAGCTCCATAAACTGTACACGAATTCGTGATCGCCTCAGTCCCCTTTAAATTTCATCTGAAAACGGTGGCAGACTTTGATCGGCTCCTCTCCGTCTTTCAGCGCGTTCTTTTTCAATCCGCAGACCGCGGCCGCGCAGAGCAAGAAACAGAGGACAAGGTGTGTGTTTATCGATAGATTGTTATAATATCTGCATCTGCGCAGTTCTTTGACATAAATACGGTTTAAAAAATATCATGGGGGAGCAATCGGTTCCACATCTATACTGTAAAGTTTTCACTGCGCTCACCCCTCATCACACCACAGCTGTTTCCTCCAGTGAAAATGAAGCACATATGAACGCATACTTTATAAAACAATCATGTTGCCATTTTCATTTGAAAATTTCACTTACAATGTAATACATATTCCAGTGCATGTGGCAAAGAGGTTTGCATACTTGAGCTAAGGAAAGAGGGTTGTACTAGAAATGCAAACAGTAAAATTGTGTGTGTACAGTAAACTGGGGTGTGTGAGATCATGAAGATTTGTATTTGGCTTATTCAGAATCAGAATGAGCTTTATTGCCAAATACACGGTGCTCACGTGTGCTTGCGGATTAATGTAGACACTGACGAGAATGAATGAGCAAAACTCCCGCGGCGAATAGAACAGCTTGCAGTTAATGAAGAGCACTTCTAGATCTGAACAGCACATCTTCAAACCCAGCCTGATTCAGTTATATGTTATACCTGTCTATGCAATACAGTGGGATACAACACTTTTTGGTATATAAGTTTAGTATACCACCCCTATTAGTCAAACATTTTTTTTATTTTATTTATATATATATTATACCCTCATTGGGGGCTGAGCCCCCTTAAAATGAAAATCCTAGAATCGCCCCTGCTCATGATAATAATGCAAATGTACAGGCTGACACTTATTATGATTATTTTAGGGAATGCTAACCCTGGTCTCACACTGCATCGATCGTCTAAACGTGTACAACAGTGCCGCTGAGTTTGAGGAGTTAGCAGGCGAGGAGGCCGGAGAGGCCTGGAAGGACATTCTCAACCTCCTCTATGAGCTTCTGGGTAAGAATGCAATCACATGTCTGCAGCCTTCAGCTGTTCACCGAGGGTGATGATGGAGAGACATGACCGTTATTAGAGGCAGTTAAACGGCTATTCTATTCTTTTATCACCTTGTTGTTGACTCCCAGCCTGATTTATGGAGGGCAAACGTACAGTTAGAAAAAGAGGACCTTGTTCAAGATATTAAAAGTTCAGATCGAAGCAAAATTGCTTTAGAAATCTTATATGAAGACCATTTAATTTCTGCTACTGTTTCAGTTTTTCTCCTGAAGCATTTTTTAATACTACTTCTATATATAGAGTGCTGCAGAAACCAACACAAAAGTTAGCATCATCCTGGTTCCCTTGACAAAAAGCCAATAGGATTTTTTCATTGGCTTTTGGATTATTGCAGAAAATAAACTCTGTGAGAAAAAAGTTTATATTTCTTACTTGTTTTGGTCATCAAGATAATCTTCGCAAATGAACACTTGACCTTTAAAGCCTAAAAACTAACAGTAAAAAGTTAGGCTATAAACAAACTACACCACATATGCATTATTTTAATGTCACCACCATTACGTTTGTGACAACGCTATTTTAAAATCTAGAGGCTGGAAATTTTTGTTGGAATAGTTTGCTTGAATGCGATTATAAGCACAAGGCTGTAAAAGTGTAGATTAGTTTTCCTGTTTGACGTGATGATGTTTAGGGCCAGATTTACTAACAGCTTGTGTAACGGAGGCCAGCGGTCGGTGCTGTGCAGGTAAACCTCACTCCCCTGATCTCAAGAGATGCACTAGCGACTGACGCTAGTGGCTGCAGTCTTTAGCCTAAGTGCAGTTAGTGCATCCGCCTCCCATCCCGGAGACCCGGGTTCGAGACCCACTCGGAACGAGAATGAGGTGTGGCGGTGAGGACCCGGGAGAGAGGGGTTACATTGGTGCCGTGACCCGGATGGGAGTGTGGTTTAGGGGGGTGAGTGTAACGGAGGCCAGCAGTCGGTGCTGTGCAGGTAAACCTCACTCCCCTGATCTCAAGAGACGCACTAGCGACTGACGCTAGTGGCTGCAGTCTTTAGCCTCCTTGTTAGTGCGTCCGCCTCCCATCCCGGAGACCCGGGTTTGAGACCCACTCGGAACGAGAACGAGGTGTGGCGGTGAGGACCCGGGAGAGAGGGGTTACACTTGCACCAGCGCAAACCGTCTTTTGGCGTTAAAATAGTACTGTCAGGATTTTATGGAATTGCGCTCTAACGCTAATTTGCCCTTTTTAGTAAATCTGGCTCTTTATGTTCCTGACATCCTCTGTAGTCCCATTTAGCTAGTTGTTAGAGATGTAAAAATCATGAGTGGGTATTTCTGATATATTTGATATTGTAGACTAAAATATGAAAATATCTTGAGCTTGTTTTAACCACAGACCCATTCAAAAAACACTGGCTTTGGGGCGATGGAACCGGACGAAGTTTTTTAAAATTTTGTTTGAAATGTTAACATCGCATAAGGATCCAGTGAGCGTGAACGCTCTCCTCGGTTCACCTTGACTGGCTCGGCATTTATCAGAGCCCCCATCGAGGCTCGTTCTGAATTTTGCTCGCTCAGAGTCATTGAGGTCACCCGCGAGAGGTGCCATGCTGAGTCTGTCTGGCAACAGTAGCATGATACATTATGCTGGTGACAACAGCCAGTTTTTAACATCTCCATACGGATGCGTTTGCTGCCTCGGGAATCAGCTCTTCTCTGGGTGTTTGGGCTTCAAAACTGCCTAGACAATCTCTCCACAAAGTGCCTTTAGCTCTGGGCTTGAGTTTGATTGATTACTCTATGAAATACAGTCTAGTTTAAGATTACTCCCATTTAGTATTTTTCTCACACCGGAGGTGCATTTATTTCAGAATATCACAACTTAGGTGGGAAACCTCGTGTGAAGGATAGCGAAAGGGATTTGCAGGTGTTAGTGTGAGGTATGTAAGAATAATGGTGTAACATTGAGCTGATTGCCATTGATTTTTGTCCATTAGCCGCTCTGATTCGAGGCAACAGGACCAACTGCACACAGTTCTCTCGCAAGCTGGATTGGCTGGTCAGCAAGCTAGAGCGATTGGAGTCCTCATCAGGTAAATACCACTATACGTCAAATCGGACACATACATTAGCACTGATTACAGAGGCGTTATACATTAACCAGTCTGTCTTACGTAGACATAAACTGAGCGATCAACCATCAGCATCTGCACAGATCAATGATTTTAGCTCAAGCTCTGTGTCACAGCAGTATTACAGATTCATAGCAGCATAGGAGCAGTAGATAATTTTCATTAAAAAATCTATAGTAATTTGCTTAAACAACTCTTTGCAATCTGATTATATAATGCCTTTATCATTCCTTGTGTTTACTGCGATGCAATATTAATAAAGCAATTCTATACAGGCATTTTAGAGGTGCTTCATTGTATCCTAATCGAGAGTCCAGAATCTCTGAACATCATCCAGAAGGCCCACATCAAATCCATTATTTCTCTGCTGTACAAGCATGGACGCAACCACAAGGTCAGCATTTGCTGTTTCTACACACACACACACACACACACACACACACACACAAACACAGATGAGTGTGGAATATAAAGGATGTTGCTGACCATCCAAAGCCTTAAGATGGAAACTAATACCTGCCACCCTGAATACTATAAATATTATATGAAGAGCTGAAAATGCAGTTTTTTCCAGTTCTGTATATAAAGCCTTATATCTATCTTCCATTTAGTGTAAATCTGTATATTTCTGTATTATGGGGAGATACAGACTACCGTTCAAAACTCGACGGTTGGTAAGATTTGTAATGTTTTTGAAACAAGTCTCTTATGCTCACCAAGGCTGCATTTGTTTTGTTTCAAAAAATACATTAAAACTGTTTTCTATTTTAATGCATTTTAAATTTGAATTCTTTCTGTTGTGGCAAAGCTGAATCAGCAGCCTTTACTCCAGTCTTCAGTATCACAAGATCCTTCAGAAATCATTCTAGAAACAGAATTTTTTTGTAACATTAGAAATGTCTTTACCTTTTGATTAGTTAAATTTTCCTGACCTCAAACGTTTGAAAGGTAGTGTAACTTCATATGATCAAAAATTTGCTAATACTTCACAAGGATTTTAGGTAATATGACCATTTGTGCTCTTTTTCCTGGACAGAATTTCTAAACTGCCTAAAATGACTAGGGTTTGGCTTTGTTTTCCTATTGTTTTTCTATCGCTAAAGGTACTGACTGAAAAGTAGTTCGACCAATAGTGTGCAGGCATTGTACATAATCGACCAATCGTGATTTGAGAAGGTGGGATCTACAGAGAACGGTCAAAGCAATGCAAATATGTGTATATAATATACTGCACGAAGACTGTAGAGGACATCAATAGGAAAACAAAGCCAAATCCTGGACATTTTAGGCAATTTTGAAACCCTGGCCAGGACATGTCTGGGAAAAAGAGGACATATGGTCACCCTAGTTTTCGTGGTGCAAAAATTCAGACATTTTAACAAGGGGCAGGTGTCTGTTGGTGTAGACCCTTGCTACTTGACTTGAGAATTCCTCTGTCTTATAAAATGTGGGTCATGTAAACTCGTAAATACATTCTAGGAGCTGCACAGCATGTTATGCTAGCAAACACTCTCAAGTATGCACGTGAGAATATGCAGGCATAAGACTATAAAGTTTTGCATAGGGAAAATGTGCAGTATAAAATCAGTTTAAAGCAATAAAACAACTGCATTACTAAAATGCCTTCTGTACTCCCTTGCAGATTCTAGATGTTCTCTGTTCCCTGTGTGTCTGCAATGGTGTGGCTGTGAGAGCCAATCAGAACTTCATCTGTGACCACCTGCTTCCCAGGAGAGACCTGCTGCTCCAGACACGATTGATCAATGATGTCCAAAGGTAGACAAACCAAAACACGCACACACAACACCCCACCACACACACAAACACAATTTTCTTAATCAGAATGTTTGTTTTTCACTAAAATTACACTACTGTTCAAAAGTTTGGGGTCGGTAAGTTTTTGAAATGTTTGTGAAAAAGTCTATTATGCTAACTAAGGTAGCATTTATTTCACTTGAAAACAGTGAAAGTAATATTGTGAAATATTATTACAATTTTGAATAAATATATAGTTCAGTCATGAACAGTGTTGTGCTAGTTACTCAAAGAATGTAATATATTACTCATTACTAGTTACTAGGGCTGGGTATCGTTCAAAAATGTTCAATACCGATACCTTGACTTCGATATCGGTTCCTGAACAATATGTTTTTCAATACCAATTTTATGAAATCAATTTTAACAACATTACATTATCTAAAAAAAAACTTTGGTTTTATTTTTCAGCTTGTTGATGTTTATACAGACTCAAAGACTCATCTCCTGAGCCATTGCACAAAGGAACAAAATGTAACCAACACAATAAATCAGTGCAAATAGTTTTAATAAAGCTCAAATAGTCTTCAGTTTACACATCTGTTAGGCTACATTTACACTAGTGCGTTCATTTTAAAATTCATAGCTCAGACAGAATCATCATTTCTATTAATTTTCCACTGATGTACTGATGAGCATTAGCAGCTTCCAGCACTGTCTGCCTGTGTTCTCTCTTCCATGATCGCTGCTCTGACTCAGAGGTAACAACATATTTCAGCAACATTATATGGCCAAAACACACATTAGACGGCAATCGGAAGTTATTACAAACACTCGATGGTGAGTTTTGGAACTCCACGCAGCTCCCGCACTACTCTCCATTGGAAAGCAGTTTTGACTGCTTTTATTGTCCTCATTTGTAAGTCGCTTTGGATAAAAGCGTCTGCTAAATGACTAAATGTAATGTAAATGTAAATGAATGACTTCCGGTCTGTCGTTTGTCATTTGTCAGAGATAGTGGAAAGCCAGCTTGAAACGCAGTGGAAACGCCAGTATGACGAGGATGGTTTTCATTTTAAAACAAAAACGCACCAGTGTAAATGTAGCCTCACATCTAAGGGGGCTGGGACGCATTCACACTACAGCCTCATGTGTGAGCCACATCTCTGAGTGTAACCGGTGTAAACTAGTTGGTGTGTTCAACTTGACGCGGACCGACTGTGCAGACCAATAGGTGTATTACAGTACCACAAGAGCTATAGAGAGCAGACTGCTCCGTACGCTTTCGAATCGCTCTCGCGGATGTTAAACACTGATCGATCTGCGCCGCGCCACTTCTAGTCGAACACTAGTGCTGCAGGCTTATTGGCTCACTGACGTTGATGAGATGAACCCCTTTCGAAATTTGGTACCGTACGACGAGACGTTTTTCGATACTCGATGGTATCGAGGCAATTCGGTCGGTGCCTAAAAAGTATCAAACTCGATACCCATCCCTACTAGTTATTCCTTTCAAAAGTAATATTGTTACTTTGCTTATTACTTTCTGGCAACAGTAATTAGTTACACTACTAGTTACATTACTTTTTCTTAATGCCCCACAGAAGTTGTAACTGTGTATCTTCCACATAAAATTCTTCTACAATGTTCCTGACAACATATTTCTGCCTCATCATTTGACTGCCTCATTTCATTTTTTGAGTAAAAATCCACATTGGATCGCAGTCAGAAGTTATTGCAAACACTCAATAGTGATTGATTAGTGACATTCAAGTAGCACCAAAGGGCTACAGGGTGACACGGAGGAGACGAATTGTTGAATAAAGTTGTTATTTTTTTTTCTTTTGCGCACAAAAAGTATTCTTGTAGCTTCGTAAAATTACGGTTGAACCCCTGATGTCACATGGATTATTTTACCGATCTCCTTGCTACGTTTCTGGACCTGGGAACATTTCAGTTGTATTGCTGTCTATGCAGGGTCAGATCAAAAATATCTTAATTTGTGTTCCGAAGATGAACGAAGGTCTTACGGGTTTGAAACGACATGAGGGTGAGTAATTAATGACACTTTAAGGATGTTCTGCCAAAACTTTCAAACTGACGTCATCAGAGAAGTAATGCCATTCCAGAGTGGAATCAGATTTTGATAAAAAATTGCCAAGACACACCCTTTTGTTTCTGTGAATTTACTTGCACGGATTAATTGTTTACCTCAAGACTAACAATGTGCGCTAACAAAGTAAACAGTGTGAATTTTGATTTCATGCAGACTTTAAAACCAAAAAGTATTTGCCAACAGAGTACATAGTTTTTTTTTTTTACAGTCTATATTTTTACTAGACCACAATACAAAAATACAAATAGAATTAAGAAAATGACATTTTTCAATGAACCTGGCAGTCATTGTCAACACACAAACCTTCTCAATGGAATTTTTTGTGCTAATTTTGCTAATAATTGTATGCATTTGATTTATTTTATGATCTTTGTGTTTATTTACAGTATGAGACCCAACATCTTCCTGGGCATGAGTGAGGGCTCGGCACAGTATAAGAAATGGTACTTTGAGCTGATCATCGATCAAGTAGACCACTATGTGACCAGTGAGCCCACCCACCTTCGTGTTGGCTGGGCCACCACCAAAGGCTACGCCCCATATCCTGGGGGTGGAGAGGGCTGGGGAGGAAACGGTGTGGGTGACGATCTTTACTCCTATGGTTTTGATGGGCTTCATCTGTGGTCAGGTACTTTTAAGGCTGTTTTACCCATGTTCCTCACTGCCTGATCTAATATGACATTATGAAAAATGCAAATATGAACATGACTTCATCTAAATAATTTCTGATACTCTTGTTTGACCGTGGTATTCACAAAAATCTACTAAATTGTTATTCTCTCCACATCTGATAGGCCGAATCCCACGGGCCGTGGCCTCTATTAACCAGCACTTGCTGAATTCAGACGATGTTGTGAGCTGCTGTCTGGATCTCGGAGCCCCTAGCATGTCTTTCCGAATTAACGGTCAACCCGTTCAAGGCATGTTTGAAGACTTCAACGTAGATGGCTTCTTCTTTCCCGTCGTCAGTTTCTCAGCAGGGGTCAAGTGAGTTTCTCTAATATAAAGTACCCTACATGGAGTAAGAGTTTTACATAAATAGCAAGTAGGAATATGGTTAGATTTAGCATACATACATTTTAATATTAATGAGGACAACATCCTGTAGCAATCGTTCAACATGTTTTTCTACAGTTTTTACTTTGAGCGTAGCACTTCTGCAGTGATTGTACAGGAGTTGTGCTATGTGACAAATGAACCCTTTCTTCTTTTGCGCTGTATCCGCCCCCAAAGCACTTTATGTTCAATCAACAGAGACAGGCCATTACTCACTTGACTTCTCAACCAACTCCAAACAAATTAAGTAGCACCAAGACATTTTTTGGACAACCCAGTGTTGCTATTAGGATTAATCAAGTAATTGATCATGAGTTTAAATGGCTTTTTCATGTTTTTTCTCTGAAGGGTCCGTTTCTTGTTGGGTGGACGCCATGGAGACTTTAAGTTCCTGCCTCCAGCAGGCTATGCACCATGTTATGAAGCCCTGCTCCCCAAAGAAAAGATGCGTGTGGAGCCTGTGAAGGAGTATAAAAGAGACCTGGAGGGAGTGAGAGATCTGCTGGGCACCACGAAGTTCCTGTCCCAGGCTTCCTTCATTCCTGTTCCTGTTAACACCAGCCAGGTGAGATGATATCAGTAACTCACTATGTAATTCACTGTGTTTTTACACTCTATTCTACCTGTTCTGTTATGCTTGTATGCATTATTGCTTTTTGCAGTTTTAAAAATATGATAAATTGTATTAATTGTATTATTATTATTATTATTATTATTATTATTATTATTATTATTATTATTATTATTATTACTTTAGTGTTTTTTTATTTTACAATTAAATATTACAAAAGTAACAATTCTTATATTGTTTACAATTTTTAATAATTGTTTTACTGTTATTTGATATATGCTGTTCAAATCTTAAATAATATATGAGGCTTTGCATTTGTTGTTCTTATTTTGTTGTCTTGTAATCCAGATTGTCCTGCCTCCACATCTTGAAAATGTGCGGGACAAGTTAGCTGAGAACATCCATGAGCTCTGGGGCATGAACAAAATAGAGCTTGGCTGGATGCATGGCAAGGTAAGAAAACATTTAAGGGGACACTATAAAAATACTAAACAGCATGATCAGAATTTCTCAGCAAAAACACGATCATCTCTGTATGACACAAGCACTGATATCAGGATAATTTCTGCTGTGCGACTTTAACTACTGGAGGAACCCAGAGGAGGATAATTGAAAATGTCAACCTAAATTGAGAGTCCTTGGGTGCAGATTAAATGAATATTTAAGCATCCCAAGTAACAACAGCAGATGGGGATGCAGATCTCATTTTCAGATAGTAAGGGCAAAAGGAAGCTACTTTGATCCGGTTTTATGCCTTCCACTGATCGCTGCATGAGAGCAACTCCAGAAATTGCAGAGCACAATGGAAAAGCACTCTGATGACAGAGCTTTGCAGTATCACAGTAGTTAAGACAACCTTAATGAGCAGCATACTGTCCAAGAGCTTGCCAGAAAAATGAATTATGGTTGAGTGCTGCCGTTACTCCTGAGGCCGGATCTTAGCATTTATTAAGAACAAATATTTCAGTCCTCAAGGGTCCGTTTCTTGTTGGGTGGTCGCCATGGAGACTTTAAGTTCCTGCCTCCAGCAGGCTATGCACCATGTTATGAAGCCCTGCTTCCCAAAGAAAAGATGCGTGTGGAGCCTGTGAAGGAGTATAAAAGAGACCTGGAGGGAGTGAGAGATCTGCTGGGCACCACGAAGTTCCTGTCCCAGGCTTCCTTCATTCCTGTTCCTGTTAACACCAGCCAGGTGAGATGATATCAGTAACTCACTATGTAATTCACTGTGTTTTTACACTCTATTCTACCTGTTCTGCCATGGCAGCATAATTAATCCAAGATTAATCAAAGATTGCACGATATGGCTATAGTATACAGCTGTACTATAAAATAATAACATTTATAATTAGCATTTATTAAGAACAAATATTTCAGAGACCCAGCTGGTCTCTGATTAATCAGATTTTAATAAGATTTAGCTGGCTCAAGGTGGCATTGTTTTGAGCATGTGGGGTTACAGGACAAGATCAGCTTGGCAAGCAAAACTCTACTTTCATTCTGCCACCATTATTCAATCCTAAACGCTTTAGCATTCTCTCTTGCGTCACATCAATCTAAAGAGCTTTATGGGCCATGAATTAAAGAGCGGTATTAGTTTTGAAGTGTCTGACTTAAATCATATCACTGCTCTTGCTGATTCATTCCTATCACTGCACCGATTAATTATTTCACTCGCTAATTAATCAAATAACTGTGCAGAAATAGTTCTAACTTCTAAGTAGAAACACTAGGATTTTACATTTTAAAATGTAATTTGAAAAGCAAGCATTTCTTAGTATTATCAATATTAAAAGAAGTTGTGCTACTTAATATTTTTGTGGAAACTGATACATTTTTTCAAGATTCTTTGATGATTAGAATGTTCAAAAGAACAGCATTTATATGAAATATAAATCTTTTAGAAAAAAATGATAAATGTCTTTACTCTCACTTTTGATCATTTTGATGCATCATTGCTGAATAAAACTATTAATTTATAATTTTATTAATTGTTAAATTTATTAATCTAACAAATCTTGCTGACCTCAAACTTTTTGGTACTATACTGTATTTTAAATATCAGCTAGTGTAAAAATTCGAAATCAGTCTCCTAGCAGAAGTACAGAATTATAGGCAAATATTAAATGCTAGATTTCTGTGAATGTTTTTACTTTTATAAATATAGAATGCATCACATTTTGTTATTTATTTTACAGTGATTTACTGGTAATTTGATAATATTTGCTATTTTTCAGGTCCGAGATGACAACAAGAGACAGCACCCTTGTCTTGTTGACTTCTCTAAACTGCCAGAAACAGAAAAGAATTATAACCTGCAGATGTCAACAGAAACTTTGAAGTGAGTATTACCGCAATGACGTGCATATAAAGGGCTGTAGATAAGGCCATTATTATTAAAATGCTTATGGTAATTAAATGTATGTCAGTAAATATTGATAAGCTGTGGCTACAAAATTAATTTCATCCCTATAGACTCTCTAGACTCAGCAATATTTAGATCGAAACGCATTAACCAGCTCAATGAGGTGTTGAACAGATTCATTTCTTTTGATAAATACTGTAATGCATTACTTGTCTTTGACACTTCGATTCTCATCTTTCATAAAATATTGGCCATATTGTTTTGCTGATAATTTCCTCAGTTTTCTAAAAGTTATTTTCTTTCAGGACCCTACTTGCTTTGGGATGCCATGTTGCACAAGTCAATATAAATGCTGAAGACGACCTGAAAAAAATGAAACTCCCCAAGAAGTAAAACCAACACACATATAGAACACCGAAATGAAAATGTTTCTCAATCTGCCTAAATGAAGTTTGATTGACAAGTTTTAATACTGTGAAATGTTTGGCCTTTAATTCTTTTCTCATTTATATCCTCCTTATTAAAGCTACATGATGGCAAATGGCTATAAACCTACACCACTAGACCTTTCTGATGTGAAACTGACACCTGGTCAAGAGGTTCTAGTTGATAAATTGGCTGAAAATGCTCATAATGTTTGGGCCAAAGATCGCATCAAACAAGGATGGACCTATGGTATTCAGCAGGTAACAATGTCTTGTTCAATATTCATTAGATATGAAATTGGATTTGTCCGTTTCCCTGAAGTGCATTGACAAACCTGTTAAGAATGATAGTAAAAAAAAGTAAATTGAATGTCCTTTTATTTTTCCATAAAGTTGTGTAACATCATTTCTTTTGCATTTTATTCAAAGGATCTGAAAAACCGTCGTAATCCACGGCTGGTGCCATATGCTTTATTAGACGAACGCACTAAGAAATCAAACAGAGACAGTCTTCGAGAGGCCATCCGTACTCTGGTTGGTTATGGATATTTTATAGACCCACCTGATCAAGAGAGTGAGTTTTAATGTTTTTACTCTTCAGTGACTATATATATAGTGTGTATTGTTCATAACTTTGCCATTTTTTCCATTCTGTAGCTGCTCACATTGTAGAGAAGGAGGGCATTGAATCCATCCGTCTCTTCCGTGTGGAGAAGACCTACGCTGTGAAGACAGGGAAGTGGTATTTTGAGTTTGAGGCGCTCACTGGAGGTGACATGCGGGTGGGCTGGGCACGGCCCGGATGCAGATCTGATATGGAACTGGGACTAGATGACCAGTCCTTTGTCTTTGATGGCTACAGGGTAATTATCTGATACTGGCACTGTTTTATTTTTGTTTTATGCTGGTACAAGGTATTGAGGACAAACAGTGGAGTTCAAAACATTTTCAGTCTGTGTCAACACATTCAAAATATATAGAACAAAACAGAAGTATATTCTGATGAATCTAACTGATCTTATATTCTATCACAAGATTACCTTGCTAATATTGTTTTAGTCGATAAGCGATGATACATGATTTGAAAGGTTTCTAAAAAATCGCTCCCAGGGCCGCCGGGTTCATATGGGCAGTCATTTCTTTGGGAGGACGTGGACTAAAGGAGATGTGGTGGGCTGCATGATCAACATGGAGGACAAATCCATGATATTCACCCTGAATGGAGAGATCGTAATCACCAACAAGGGCTCTGAGCTCTGCTTTGCTGACTTTGAAGCTGAAGATGGTAAACAGACAATAATCATCATAAGCACAAAGGATCTGTAATATATTATATATAGGCAAATCACATATTATAAGAATGAAAGTAAAGGAAAAAGGCATTCTTTTTTTTTTTTTTTTTGGAAGTAATTGGTCCAAAATTTTTAAGACATGTTTTGAACTGATACACACTGACCTTTGTCACCATAGGATTCATCCCAGTGTGCAGCCTGGGTCTTTCCCAAATTGGCTGCATGAATTTAGGAAAAGACGCTAGTACTTTTAAGTACTACACTATGTGTGGCCTTCAGGAGGGCTTTGAACCCTTTGCTGTTAATATGAATCGAGAAGTCACCATGTGGTTCAGCAAACGCCTACCTACGTTTGTTAATGTACCAGAGGACCACCCCCATATTGAGGTGCAAATAGATGTTGTGAATTATACCTTTTTACTCTCTTGGAAAATACTGGGGTAGATTCTTTAAACTGCATCCCTTTTGCATTTAGGTTACTAGAATAGATGGGACTGTGGACACACCTCCATGTCTAAAGGTGACACACAAGACATATGGGACCCAGACCAGCAATGACGACATGGTCTGCTGTCGTCTAAGCATGCCTGTTGAATTCCCTTGGAAGATCACTGATGTCAGTGAGGTGATCGCTGAGGACCAAAAAGCCAAGAAGGATGATGGAGGCAAGATTGATTATGGCAGCATTACAAAGGTAAAAATACTTTACATCTTGTTAATGCTAACCAATGTAGACTTATACATTGAGAATAATGAAAGAACCTTATTATTGTACTCAATTGACTTTTGATGTACTTGTGCTTAAGTACTTCTACTCTGTGAGAGTGTTTGCTGGACAAGATCCATCATCTGTTTGGGTGGGCTGGGTGACACCAGACTACCACTACTATAGCAAGCACTTCAGCCTCAGCACAGTTCGCACTGTCACTGTAACGCTGGGAGACGAGCGGGGACGTGTTCATGAGAGGTCGGTTCAAAAGACTGGTTCACACTTCCAAAAGAAACCCATTATTTCAGACTACTGTTGTTTTCACAGTTATTTTCACTCTACTCCAACATATATCCCAGACGTATTGGAAATTTCCCCTGATTGAAATGTGTTGTCTTTTTGTCATCTCTTTTAATTCAGTGTGAGAAGGAGTAATTGTTACATGGTCTGCGCTGGGGATGTTGTCAGCGGCTCCACAGGCCGTAGTAACACTGATCTGGAGATTGGCTGCTCCATAGATCTGGCCTCAGGCCTGGTCTCATTCACTGCCAATGGCAGAGATCTGCCTACTGCATACCAGGTAATCTCAGCTCCTAACCTTTAACAAAATAGGACACAACGACATTGCTAGATGTAAATAACATCCTAAGCTTATCCCGTTAGTACCGTATCATAATGCAAAGCTTACGTACTACAATTCACTTCACATTTTCAGGATTTTTAAGTTGACTTTCTTTATGCACCAAGAGCTTGTAACACTCCAAAGAGAAAGGAAAAATTTAAATTGCATCATATGACCCCTTTAATGCTTCTAAGGTTTCCTAGAGGAGATAATAAAATAAGTGACAATACTGTTATGCTTCTTAGTATAGTGGTGACAAAAGTCTGAAGTTTAAATCCTAGAGAAACTTTAACTTTTTCTTATTAAAATTAAGTTTAAAATTGCAAATGAGGATTTCAGTGGCACAATCCCAGCCAGTTTGTTGTTTAATGTGCAGTTGTTTTGTACTAATGTATCACAATGTGTAGCGCTACCCCAGTACAATAATGGTGCAAAAACCAAGAGGTGACAAAATGGCTGCATCCAAAATCACTTTTTGTTTTTTTGAGTAGGTTAAGTGCTTTGCAACCATTACAAAAAATATGTTCTCTATATTGTGAATGTGTTTAATATGAATGTATTCTGGATGTACTACATTTGTCATGTTGTCATTATCATGTGACCCACCATTCATAACTCGTCTCCTGTGGCCTCATGGGATAGTGAAGTGTCCACTGGACACTTCAGAATCTCACAGGAAGTAGGTCATCTGGGTAGTTTCTGCCTAATCTTTTATGAGTACTGTGATTTCGGACATATGTACTACTCTTTTCACATAATATAGTGTAGTAGTTATAGTAGGGACTTTTTTTTTGGATGCAGCCAATATGCCATCACTTGCTGCATTTTTAGTACATTCCAGTCTGATTTTCTTTTTAAAAGTTGGCTAAATGTTAAAGGGTTTTATTTCAATGAAAAGTAAAGTATTTGGAATGTTATTCCCAACTTTGGTTTGAAAGTGAAACTTTCTACAGAGCCAGTAATGGTTAGCGCAGTGTAATTTTAATGAATCTCTGTGCTTTTCTAGTCTTAGTTTACCTCAGGCTCTGATTTTGAATCAGACTCACAACAGCAAATATTTAAAAGGCTGTATCATGTCTGAGCAGTCTGAATTTACTTTAATCCTAAGTAGTGTGCAACACTTGCTTGTCCAAGTAGAGCAAGTAAACTTATCAGAATAGACTTCATATGCTTTCTTCTGCCTTCTTTTAGGTTGAGCCTAACACTAAGCTCTTCCCTGCTGTGTTTGTTCAACCCACAAGTCCCAACCTCTTCCAGTTTGAGTTTCCAAAAATCCCAGTAAGTCTATATACTATTAATGTTTTCAAGTTCCTCCATTTCACACATTATAATTCACTGACATGATCTGCATCAATCCTCACACAGGATGCAATGCCCCTGTCTTCAGCCATCTTTAAGAGTTTACAAAGAAACCCAGAGCCCCAGTGTCCTCCTCGGCTGGATGTGCAGACAATCGTGTCCGTGTTGTGGAGCAGAATGCCCAACACCTTCCTGTCGGTGGAGACGGCCCGTGTGAGTGAGAGGCATGGCTGGGTGGTGCAGTGTCTGGAGCCCCTGCAGATGATGGCTGTTCATATCCCAGAGGAGAACAGGTGATGCATTACTCATACGCTCTGTTTTCCACATGCAATGACTTGCAACTTTGTATTCCTGGGAATGTGACCTTTCATTGAAATAAAACCCCTTAAGTGCTCATTTGGCTCCAATGCCAGCTGGCTTGAATGAAGATCTTAACCTACTTCCTGTTTGCCACGCCGTAGGTGTATCGACATCATGGAACTATCAGAAAACGAAGATCTACGGCAGTTCCACTATCATACTTTAAAGGTCTTCTGCGCCCTTTGTGCATTGGGCAACACTCGCGTTGCTCACGCCCTCTGTAGCCATCTTGACCAATCGCAGCTCCTGTATACCATTGATAACCAGTACCTGTCTGGTCAACTGCGTGAAGGCTTTTACGATGTCCTCATCAGCATTCACCTGGAGACGGGCAAAGAGGCCCATCTCATGATGAACAATGAGTTTATAATCCCAGTAACGGATGAGACGAGGAGCATCCGCCTCTTCCCTGACGACTCTAAGCGTCACTCTCTTCCTGGCGTAGGCTTGAGCACTTCACTTGCCCCTCGTTTCAACTTCACCCCTCCGTATTTCATTACCCCCAAGCGCGATCTGCCTCTCTTCAGCCCTCAGATCCCTCTGGGTATCCTGAAGGAGAAAGCCATCAGTATGCTTACGGAAGCTGTGCAGGGCGGAGGCGCCCACATTCGAGATCCTGTGGGCGGAAGCGTTGAGTATCAGTTTGTGCCGATTCTCAAGCTGATCGGCACCCTGCTGATAATGGGTGCGATGACCAGCGAGGAGGTGAGGACCATCCTGCTTCTCATTGACCCCGGCGTGTTTGGGGATGGGAAGGAGGAGGAGGAGCAAACGGCAGTGGCGGAACAGGGAGCGGAGAAAGAGGAGGCCGCCAGTAATGAAGAGAAGGCTGTGGAGGCAGGGGAGGAGGAGAGTAAAGAGGCCAAGCAGTCTCCCAAAGGTCTTCTAGAGAAAAGCTTGCCTGAGTCGGTCAAACGGCAGGTGAGTAACTTGTTATCTTGTACATTATGGTCTGTTGTTTGCATTCATATTTGTGACGAGTGGGGGCGGGGCCGAGAGCCGTGGGAACGGAGCGAGGCCGGTGGAGTAATTGATAATGAGCGACACCGGCACCACTCACTGGTCACTCCTCCCTTTTATCCTTCCGGAGCTCCTCCGTGAGACTCGAGACCGGTGAGTGGTGCAGGTGTCGCTCATTATTACTCCACCGGCCTCGCTCCGTTCCCACGGCTCTCGGCCCCGCCCCCACTCGTCACAATATTACTTTACAATTAAGGTCCATATTGTGGTTAAGATTTTAATCTGAAAAAGTTGTTTACAAGCTCTTCAGTGATTGAAGCATGCTTGCTCTTGTCTTGCTATTTTTTAACTTGAGACAGAAGTGTAATTTATTTTATTTCATTATTATGTAATTATTTATCTCATTAATAACTCATTAAAAGCTCATTAAAGTTTTTTTTTTTTTAAGGAAGAAATAAGAAGTATGACTGTCGTAATTACCATAATTACTAGATGACACGAACCCAAATGTTCTGCCAGGAGCAGTTCACATCCTCAGTCTCAGAATAATGCATTCTATGGCAACACTATTAACGCCAAAATGAATCTGTGTAATTAAATAATCAATAGACAAAACATTGTGTTTCATTAATAAACTTTTAAAGTTCATTTAACTTATTTAGCAGGATATTAGACATTAGTTATCCAGCTCTACGCTATCTACTTTCATATTAACTTTGCCATTATTAAGACATTAACAGTAGTCATTTATTGGACTAATTAAATGGAAATAAAAATAACATTTTACTGCAGAATCTGCTGCTGTTTTGAGTGTTTCCACACGGCAATACAGCAGTCAGGTGGTACAAGTCGGAGTTTACAAATTGTAATTACGACATTACCTGAAATAATAATTAATATGCCAGTTGAAAATCAAAATATTGGCTTCATTTGTTTATTCCAATCAGTAAAATGCATTTGCATGAGATATTTACATGGTTCTTGTGCATTTAACCAAGGTGAGTATGAATGAGTATAGGAACTACAAAATCTTCCTGTGGAGGTTTATATTTCCCACCAATTTTTAGGCCTCAACTGTACCTCTAAAATATCTTGACTGAGATACTGTATATGCATTCAAATGAAGTGAGATTTTGTGTAATTGTTTGGTTGTTGTGCAGATGTGTGAACTGCTGCACTATTTCTGTGACTGTGAGCTGAAGCAGCGCATTGAGGCTATAGTGGCCTTCTCAGATGATTTTGTGTCCAAGCTGCAATTCAATCAGAAGTTCCGCTACAATGAGTTGATGCAAGCCCTCAACATGTCAGCTGCTGTCACTGCCAAGAAGACAAGAGAGTTTCGCTCACCTCCCCAAGTGCAGGTAAGCCTTCTTCATAGACTCACATAAAGCCTCATTCTTCATAGATCTCAGAATGTCCAGAAAAGACCTTTAATGACACTTGAACACTTGAATGAAAGACGTCAGACCATCTCCATTGTCTTCAGCACATGCAGCTCATAATGTGTTCACTTTTCCTGTTGTATAATTTCAAATATATTTGGTTTTATTATACAAAATAAAAAAAAAATGTTGACAGAGGATTGCTCCTCCTGCTGTCTCCATGTTACTGCTAATTTCTGAATGCAAGCTGCATCGTTGTGAATGGGAGCGAGAAAATAAACACCTTGGCATCACAACAGATTTTCAGCTGTACAGCAGTATTACTAATAAACCAGTGCCAATGTCTTGACTTATTGTCTTTTGATTTGTGCTTAGCACAGCTCCAAGACTCTTGGACTAGACTTTTTCCAGAATCATTCATTTTTACTTTTTTTAATTACACTTCTGTTTCGGTAACTGAAAAGATGCATCTTTTCTTGCATTAAATGCACACCACATCTACTAACTGAGAAAAACCCTTGTAGTTTAGCTTATGTGGCCATTGTAAGCTCATGTCGGAAATAAACTGGTCTGTCTTTGTAACCAGGGCAACAGAAAGGTTTTTTACAGATACAGCTGATTTCCATTAGAATGTTACATAACGTCTGTTAAAGGTTAGGCTTATGAAATCTATATTTCATGATCCATCATATTTTAAAAAAGATTTCAGATTGCATCTCAGTTTTGGTTGTGGTGAAGTGATGCTTTTTTTCCTGAAGCAGCATATATATTTTTAATTGCAGATAAACATGTTGCTGAACTTCAGTGCTGGTGATGATTGCACCTGCCCTGAGGAGCTGCAAGAGGAGCTTCAAAGCTTCCATGATGACCTGCGACTACATTGTGGTATATTTTTATCCATTCTTTCCATTGTTTACCTCCATTCTCAACCTATTTCTCTCTAAGTAACTGTACTCTGTTTAAAAAGAAAAAGTCAAATCATTTTCAAATTCTACGTCATATAATCTTGTGATGTTCTTTCAGTTTCGTTTAGTTTTAATTATACTTCCTTAAATTCAACTAAATTACAAATCTATAGCCTGTTCTACCACAATTCAAATTCAAGGGTTTTAAAGGCATAATTAATTCAGTTCTGAATGGTGCACAACCCTGATATCATGAATTGTCATTTGCAGCACGAATAATCAGAAGATGCAGATAAAGTTTTCATCTTTGTGTATATACACAGGAATCCCTATGGAAGAGGAAGAGGAGGAGCAGGACACATCTCTTAAAGGCCGCCTAATGTCCCTGGTATACAAGATTAAAGGTCGTCCCCAAAAAACTGAGGAAAAACCAACGGAGCAAGAACAGGCTGCTCCTAGTAAGGCTTGTTAAAAATAGATTCTTCAAACGTTTTATATTTCGTAGTGTTTCATTATACCTTTGTTCTGCTGTATCTGGTTAAAAAAAGACTATCTCTTGAGGGTCAGAACATTCTAAACCAAGCTATGGTTTAGAGCAACATTTCTAAAGACTTCTACACATTATTTAACATGTACTTAATGTGTTTAAAGCTTAGCTGCACTCCCAAAGAAGTAGATCAAAAGTAGTACTAAAATGCTATGAAAAAAGACCATAAATCATGTCCTAAATGTAAGTATTAAATAGAGGTATTTCCATTAAAGAGACAAGGAGGGCAGGACAAAAAGGGGAAAATACAGTACCAAATGAAAAATATGTTTTTTTTTCTATTAACAAAAGTTATATGACTTGGTTTCAATAAACATGCAAAAATATTGTGCTATCAGTGTTGAAACCATATAAACATCACATGGAACATAATTTACATTAGACCAAAAAAAAAATATCCAAATGCAGAGACAGGCTTTTCTTTTACACTACTGATATTAAGTTAATAATAAATGGCTTATGATCAGAAACATTGTTTCTACTGTGTTTGTGTTATAAACCCTTTGAAATCAAAAGAAAGTCAGTACTGAGCTTCAAATCAGCAAAAAAGGGTATTAAGGTGGCAAGGATATTAGCATAGACTTAAATCATGTTACCAGCCATGGGTAGACAAGTACGTATTAAAATGGATGTAATTTGCAGATGTTGGATAAAAAGCGTCAGTGCTGCACTTTCTCTTGATGAGAGAAGTATGTGATTAGAGCAGCTATTCCAAAAAAAGCACACGGGGCAATTTGTGAATAGAAAATATTAATAGATGTAACGACATACACTAATGGTCCTAACACATGACTAGAGCACAGGGTCTGAAATCTCTTCTACATGAAGGGCCATTTTTAATTTAATATTAGTAATTACTGTTCCATATCACCCTTATTCATTTATTAATATTAGTATACTTTATGCAGTATAATACAATACACCAGTTCAACAGTTACAGCATTAATAAGCATTATATTGCAAAGATCTAATTAAAAATGAAAAAAACAAACCATGCAAATATCTTTTTATCAAAGTCTGTATTGTCTCCTCCAGCAAACCTGAAGGAGCTGATATCTCAGACTATGGTCACCTGGGCTCAGGAGTGCAAGATCCAAGACCCGGCACTGGTCCGCAGCATGTTCAGCCTTTTGAGAAGGCAGTATGATGGCATCGGTGAGCTGCTCAGGGCCTTGAGGAAGAGCTACACCATCAGTGCCAAATCTGTATGGGACGCGATAAACCTGCTGGCCTCGCTGGGTCAGATCCGTTCACTACTTAGCGTCCGCATGGGGGAAGAGGAGGGCCAGCTTATGATCGACGGCCTGGGGTAAAATTTCAACTTCCATTCTTTAAGAGGTTTACATCCTACTATACATTTAGATTGCCCTTGCCATCATCTAATACTCACTTACACTCCCACTTCCTGTTTTATTTTACATTTATTTAGACAAAATAGTTCAGAATTTGCAAATCAACCATCGTCTTTTCACATCAGCCAGATTTTTAATATCAAAGCATCCCTTCACTGTACAGCTACATCCTATAAAGTGTTTGTCTTATTCTTGCACTCAGGGACATCATGAACAACAAAGTGTTTTACCAGCATCCAAATCTGATGCGTGTTCTTGGCATGCACGAGACAGTAATGGAGGTCATGGTCAATGTGCTGGGAGGAGGCAAGGATAAGGTACTTTTTTTGAGCCATACTGCCCAAAAGGTGCTTTTTCTGGGGTGGGATGCTCCGGTTATGTTCAGTTTATGTAATTTATTATATCCCGATGGTGTGACTTCAGTTGTAATGCACATGCTTAAGAAGTTTCTTCTGTCCGTTTTATCAACTGATAAAGAACAAAACTTCTTCACAAGTTGCTTTTGTTCCTCTTGTATGCCACTTTGGATAATCGTCTGCCGAATGCATAAATGTAAATGTTTAGACTTCAGATAATATTGTTTATGATTATAATAAGATCCCATGACTCAGTTGGACACTTGTGAGTCCAGGCCGGGCCAAACCCCTCTCAGCCAAACCTTCTTAAACTAAACACGATATCTAGAGGGATAACACATAGTGCATGGGAAGATACAGTACCTATAGTACCCCGTGTCTAACAGCTTAATACCTCCTTATGTATTAGGGGTGGCAATAGGGCGAAAGCTAAGACAAGAACAGAAGGAATGGGTCGCTTCTCATGCCAGTCCTTTTTGGGATTTGAGGAGTCTAGGATGTGAATTAATACCACTGACTATGCCAGATATGACATTGCCACAGTGTCTCTCATTTCTGCTTGGCAGCCTCATTAAAGAGGCCTCACGCAAAGGGACGTGGGTTGCAGACATTTAGGGTGACCATATTCCCTGCTCAGATGAAGTACAGAACATATTTGCTTGTATTTGCCTCACGTCTCATATTTCAGTCTGGTTTAACTGTCTGGGGGGGTTCTTTCGATATCTGGAGTATGTTACATTACACACATTTAGTAGCCGTGTGAGGACACGCACGCGAAAAAGATGAAAGATTAATTTGAAGTGTGAAGGAAACGATCTCCGTCTGTGCAGGGTGAAATGAATGCTGTTTTTAACTCTCAGGAGATTGCCTTCCCCAAGATGGTGGCCAGCTGTTGTCGCTTCCTGTGCTACTTCTGTCGCATCAGCCGTCAGAACCAGAAGGCTATGTTTGACCACCTGAGCTACCTCCTGGAGAACAGCAGTGTGGGGCTGGGTAATCACACACACGCAAACACACAGTTCTTCAGGGATGCAGGTCAGGCAGGGCTGAATCACAGTGTCTGTGTTGCCATGTCCACTTATTAAAGTGACTTTGGGCAGTTTGTTTTTCTCGTAGTCTTTTTGGGCTTATTTTACTGCCACAGTCACGTATTTCAGCTTGCAAATGCTGCTAGCTGTGGGCACAAAAATGAGATATGCCACACATACACCACAGAGGACAGCAACTCAAAGGGGAGTGGCAAAAGTTGTGTTACTGTACATACCTTATAAAAACTGGGTAGTTACACCTCTGTGTTTGGTCTCCAGAGCACAATAAAGGTCTCTAATAGCAGTTATGAAATATCCCCACCTACTGTTTGAGCCACACTCTGTGAATTATTATTAATCGCTGTAGTTTGTTTGTCCTAAGCTCCTGTTTTTTATTCTTTCCCTATTCTTTCCATATAAGTCTTATATGCTCACTGACACTACATTTATATGATACGAATGTACAGTAAAACAGTAATATTGTAAAATTTTGCTACAATTGAAAATAGCTTTTTTCTGTTTTAATATATTTTAAAATGTAATTTATTCCTGAAATTGCAACGCTGAATTTTCAGAAGTCATTACTTCAGTCACATGCTCCTTCAGAAATCATTCTAATATGCAGATTTGACTTTTTTTTTTTTTTTTTAAAGGAAATCTTTTATAACATTATAATTTCTTTTACTGTCACTTTTTATTAATTTAATATGTCCTTTCTTTAAAACAATTATAAACCTTAAACCATAAACACTTCCCTAAAAACAAAACTTGCATTGGTCGGGAAAGTAATTTATTTCAGGCTTTTTGCGTAAGACCGGCTTGCTTGTTTTTTGAGCAAGATCTGGCAACCCTGCACAGTGCACTGTTTTGACTGTGAATAATAGCTTGTGCAGCTGAGAGCACCTGACTGTGCAGGAGTCGTTTCCTATAACAGCACATTAATGAGCAGCTGAGAGCCCACTCACCCCTTTATAGGCCTTATCACCCTCAGATCAATGACAGGACAGATTAGATCAGATGAAGATAAGGCCGGGAGCTGCATCCATAGATGTACAATTTTATGTTAACATTTCTTCATGTTGCATAGATAGTGTTATGCAGCTACAGTGTTAGTTATTACATTTTTTATTAATACAAGCTCACCGACTGGTATGTGCAAAGCAGCAGAATTAGGTTGTAATCAGAAATCCATCCAAATATGCTGAAATGTATGGTTGTAAACAATAATTAATATAAATGATATAAAGTGAAGAAGATTATAACTCTTTATAATTGCTAAACTAAAGATATTTTAGAAAACTATTTCTATACGTTTATAGCATAGCATAATATAATAACATGGACAAGAGGATGAGATACCTAGTTGGAAAAAAAGGAAAGACTGCCATCTGTTGGTGATTTTGCCTCAGTAAAAATCTGCTATCCCTATTGGCCATATGGAGATAATCTTTGTTTCCTATTTCTCTAGCTTGCCCAGCCATGAGAGGCTCTACACCTTTAGATGTGGCTGCCTCCTCTGTGATGGACAACAACAGTTTAGCTCTGGCACTTGAGGAACCTGATCTTGAGAAGGTACCAGTTCAACATCAGTATAACATCATCTCTTCTCATATGACGGTGCTTAGTAAGATTCTTTAAAATTACACGGAATTTATATAGAAGGCTTCCTTGTAAAGAAAAAAAAACAGTTAAATAAACTTTTGATGGTATACTTACCATTGTTGTGACAGTCACTGAGTTTTTAGTAGAGCATCATCGGATTAGCAGCATGGATCAAGCTATGGTAATTGATGTATTGTGTTGCACTGCCAAATAAAGTTACTGGCTGAATGAAAATAAATTTGGCTAAGCCAATCTTTAGTGCCATTAGTTTCATTTTGGATTCTGTCCATGTATGTTTTCAGGTGGTGACATATCTGGCAGGCTGTGGCTTACAGAACTGCCCAATGCTCATTGCCAGGGGATACCCAGACATTGGCTGGAACCCAATTGAAGGAGAACGTTATTTATCCTTCCTACGGTTTGCTGTCTTTGTCAATTGTTAGTCCATTTTACCACAAAGATGAGTTTTCATGTCTTGTTTCTTGGTTAATGGAAAAGGACTTGTATCATTATGTAAACGTTATGTTATGTATCATTGTCTATGTATCATTCTGGTCATCTCAGGTGAAAGTGTTGAAGAGAATGCTAATGTAGTGGTGAAGCTTTTGATCAGGCGTCCGGAGTGCTTTGGACCTGCTCTCAGAGGAGAGGGAGGGCAAGGTTTACTCGCTGCCATGAAGGAAGCCATCAAGATCTCAGAAGATCCTGCTTTAGACCTGCCTAACTTACCCGAGGGGGCTGCACACACGTAAGACTACTGAATTCTTCCCTCAGATCTACATTATTTGCCATTTTATGTTAGGTGTGTAGAGTTGAAAAACTGAGCTGTAGTTTGAGTTGTCCTACCACCCCACGCTTTGACCTCAGGATTGAGCAAGCATGACTTAAAATAAGCATGTACACTCTTTGTTTTGACAGCGTCGGAGAGGATGAAGAGGAGGAGGAGGTCGCCCACATGGGCAACTCTATTATGTCTTTCTACTCAGCCCTTATTGATCTTCTGGGCCGCTGTGCACCTGAGATGCATGTGAGTGCTCATTTCTGCCACATTTTATTGATTTACCAAGCTAGGGGCAAAACTCGCAGTTTCCTTCACTTTAGTGCTGTTGCACTGTACATGGCTTCACTTTAATATTATACCGATGCTGTTTTACAGCTTATAAACAAAGGCAAAGGCGAAGCACTGCGTATCCGTGCCATCCTCCGTTCCTTAGTTCCCATGAAAGATTTGGTGGGAATTATCAGTATTCCACTCAAAATGCCGGTCGTCAATAAAGGTTTGTACATGTCACTAGATGCCTTTGAAAGAGTCTGAAGACATCATTTCTGAAACTCATTATGTGCCTAAGATTGATTGACGCTATTACTCTTTCAATGTCATCTTCATCCATTTGTGTCTCATTATCTGTGCTGCTTGTTCCACAGTCATTATAACCCTAATGTCTTTTTGTTTTAACTCTCTCGTTTGCTTAGATGGCACCGTGACAGAGCCAGATATGAATGCCAGCTTCTGTCCGGAGCATAGGGCACCCATGGTGCTTTTCCTGGACCGTGTCTATGGTATTGACGACCAGAGCTTCTTGATGCACCTGCTGGAGGTGGGCTTCCTGCCAGACCTGCGAGCATCAGCCTCCCTGGACTCGGTAAGGCTGCTTTGCAGTGCAAAAAAGAGAAAAGTCGCAGACATAAATTTATCATGCCTTGTGTGAAAAAGCCTAAAAGGTTCATGTGATGCCAAACATTTAATATGGTGATTCAGCAGAGGCAAAAAGTGGATAGTGTATGAATATCGAAAATAACCCATTTAATTTAGCTACAAATTAAGAGTGTATTTTGTGGTTTTGTATTATTAAAGTTTTCTTTTTTATTTATTCACATTTAATCAATGTAAACATTCAACTCATTTACATGATGATTTGTTTTTCATGTTATTTTTGCATCCATCAGGAGGTGCTCAGGACCACAGAGACAGCTCTGGCCATGAACCGCTACATTGGATCTGCAGTGCTTCCTCTGTTGACCCGCTGTGCTCATCTGTTCGCTCACACTGAGCACTATGCAACGCTCGTTGACTCTACGCTGCACACCATCTATCGCCTCTCAAAGGGCCGATCACTTACCAAGGCCCAGAGAGATGCTATTGATGAATGTCTACTGGCCATTTGCATGTAAGAACCTCTTGAAAACCTTTAGCGGAGTGGCTGGGATGGTTTCCACAGTTCAGGGGAATTAAAATGGCATTTTCATACTATAGATTACCATACTATTTCTTAATTAGAAATCGCTGGAATGTAGGTTAGGTATCATCTGATGCTATTTATACTTTCTTTAGGCATCTGAGGCCATCAATGCTACAGCAACTTTTACGTCGTCTTGTGCTTGATGTTCCACAGCTTACAGAGTACTGCAAGATGCCCATTAAGGTGAGTTTAGTAAACAGTAAATATAAGTACACTACTATTCAAAAGTTTGGGTGGTAAGATTTTTAAATGTTTTTGTAAGAAAACTTTTTTTGTTCGCCAAGGCTGCATTTATTTGATCAAAAATACTGTAAAACTGTAATATTGTGAAATATTATTACAATTTGAAATAACTGTTTTCTATTTTAATGTATTTATAGTGTCATTTATTCCTGTGATGGCAAAGTCTTCAGAAACACAAAAAAGTCTGAAATTGAAAGTTGTCAGTGTCACTTTTTTCCAGAAATAATTATGTCCTTTTTTAAGCAAATTTTTTTTTTATTATTTATATATTATTTATCAATGTTGAAAACAGCTGTGCTTCTTAATATCCTTGTGGAAAACCTGATACATTTTTTTCAGGATTCTTTGATAAATAGAAAGTTCAAAAGAACAGCATTTATTTAAAATAGAAATGCTTTTGCTCAATTTAATGCATCCTTGCTAAATAAAAGAAATAATTTATTTCAAAAACCAAAAATATACTGAACCCAAATGGAAGTGTACAATTCATCCTTATTACTCTTTGGTTACATTATTAATTTTAATAAGGCCTCTAGACGAAAATTCACTAAACAGTTGGGCAGTAAAATGGTGCATTGTCATTCTTTTGAATGCAGCACGACATATTTCTATGGAAATTACTATGGAAATTCCAACTTATTCACCAAACGCAGCACTATTTTCTTGGTGCAATTATTGTGGTCTTTTAATGATATTAAAAAGATGTTTGTCTATATTTCCGGTTGATCATGGCAGCAATGATTCATCAAATTATGATCACATAGTGGAGAAGAGTTTTGTGATTAAACAAATCCAAACACAAGATGTATTTAATGTGATTCACATTCAGGATTAATCTTGTGAGTCTGTTTTCACCGTTACCTATGATTTGCAAAAATTCCTTTTATGAAACAGGCGCTAAAACAATGCAGACAGCTTGTGCAAATGCACGCAATAAAAGGGCACACTTCATCCTTGGTAAAAAGTACGTCTCTCTACAGTGAGGTCACGCGGCTCATGTTTTGACAGCTTTACACACCCTGCACACACACAGGGCATCTGGATTGCACATTACCTGATGCAACTGCCACTATTAGTCACCACAGTTCCTCCTACCCATGATCCTTTGATAGGCAGGTGTGAGCAGGTTGTAATCTCCTCAACGTTTCAGCACCTTGTCTCTCTGCTGGCAGCTGTCTCACCCTATCATGACCACCCTACCATAGGGCAGGGTTATCAGAAGAGGGCTTGGCAGAAGAACACACACCTTTAAATTATGTTTCAGACATGTGAACCAAAAATGAAATTCCCTAAGTCAAATCCAAGTATAAAATCAACTCTTATTCTAGACTATTCTAGATAACAATCTGTCTGAAGAGTATAATTGAAAGTATTCTGAATGTTGACAGCTTAATCCACATATCTGTTTACCCTTGCAGCTGTTGACCAATCACTATGAGCAGAACTGGAAGTACTACTGTCTGCCAACAGGCCTGGGCAGCTATGGAATGGCATCAGAGGAGGAACTCCACCTCACCAAGAAACTCTTCTGGGGACTTTTTGATGCTCTTTCTCAAAAGGTACAAACATGCTTCAGTATAAATCTGGGCTGTCAGTTAAGCAAACAATGTATTCAAACAAATTGTTGTTTTTGATACCAATAAATAAAACTGATAGTTCACCCAAAAATGTAATTTTTTGTCTTTGTTTACTCACCCTCATGCCATTTCAAACCTGTATGATATTTCTTTCTTCTGTGGAACATAAAAGAATATCTTTTTAGAGATTGCTCTGTTTTTTTTTGTGCACACATCAATGGTCACCAAAGTTGTTTGGTTACCAACAATTTTCAAAATATCTTCTTTTGTGTTCCTCAGAAGAAAGAAAGCCATACAGGTTTAGAATAACACAAAGGATCGACAGAGTTTAAATGTTTGGGTGAACACAAATTTTGATATTTGCTGCAAAAGCCCCCAAATTAAGATAATTCAAACACTATATTATTAAATTATATTGTTGTGACACAAAAAATTAATAGAATAGACTAGGAAGTCTGCAAAAATTGATTGTTGGTCAAGGTGCACTTCTGTGGTCATAGCATCTGGTCTCACTGTTTTTCAGTGTTTCATGTTTTTACGTTGCTGTGTAAATGTAAAAAAAAAATAGCTTTTGAAAATGTGCTTGCATTTTGGTAAGAATGGTAAGAAAATCCCTTACTATAGAAATAATGTATGATTTTATTTTTATTTAAATCGAAAAATATTTAACTAAGAACATAACTAAATAATTAAAACACCAAACTGAAAGCACCACTATAAAATTATTTCATTTATTTTGTTAGTCCACAAAGATTTGATCAAACTTTGCTCATTGACTCCATTGTCTGTTTCACAGAAATATGATGCAGAGCTTTTCAAAATGGCCATGCCATGTCTGAGTGCCATAGCTGGTGCCATACCACCTGATTATGTTGACTCCAGCCCAGGCTCCACATTAGTTAAGCAGGCCTCTGTGGATGCACAAGGCAACTTCGACCCCCAGCCTATTAGCACTGCAAAGTAAGTACCACTGAAATGCTGGCCAAGAAACTGCATGTAGAAATCCTTTAATTTGACCTTTCAGTGGACTTCACAATATACTGTTTGTCTTTTAGCATCTCGCTGCCTGAAAAGCTAGATTACATAGCAAGCAAGTTTGCTGCGCATTCCCATGAGAAATGGTCCTCTGAGAAGGTTGGACATTGTTAAAACTCATCCCATTAATCTTGCACGCTTTATTGTGCCACTCGATCTACTCTTCTGTTGAATTAGACAAAGCATGACTGCTTGTTTTATCTTGTGTGGTGATAGATCGCTCTCGGCTGGACTGCGGGAGATAAAGTAGATGACAAAGCTAAAACTCATCCACTTCTGAAACCGTACAAAGCACTGAGTGAAAAGGTACGCATAAAACCAAATCACATTCTTCCGTATTGATTTTTGTCTCTAACACAAATGCCAGTTTCAAAGGATGAATTTTAATCTCTTTAAATTTGTCGCTTTGCATAGGAAAGGGAGACTTACCGCTATCCTGTGAAAGAGACTCTGAAGAGCATGTTGGCAATGGGATGGAACATTGAGAGAGCCAAAGAAGGAGAGGCCATGTTCCAGCAAAGGGAATCAGAAAAACAGCGCAAGATATCAGAGTCCTCTCAGGTAATGTTAGACAGCAGGAAGGTGTTTATTTCTTTGTAGCGTCTGTCAACAAATCAAAGCATTTAGCACATTGTGTTGCCTCTTCTCCACTTTACAGGGTGAGTTTATTCCAGCCCCACAAGATTTGGAAAATGTTATTCTATCAAGAGAACTACAGGCAAGTGTGAATCGAATTGCACATTTCTGTTACACTTTATTTTAAGGTGTCCTTGTTACAGTGTAATTATACATTTAAGTACTGAGTGATATTAATTAACTACATGCACTTACTATATGGTTAGGGTTAGGGTTACTTGCATGTAATTATGCATCATTTATTGTTATTATAATAGTAAGTTCACATAACTTCTAACAAGGACACCTAAAAATAAAGTGTTACCCATATTTCATATATTGTGTATTAAATCTGTATTTTCATTGAAATAATTTCAACAGGCAATGGTTGAAACAGTTGCAGAAAATTACCACAACATTTGGGCAAAGAAGAAGAAAAAGGAACTTGATAGTAAAGGTGATGCTTTTCTCCTGGAAAAAGTCTGTTTGGCTCAATCCTGTCTAAGCTGTCCCAGATGCATTGACTCACTGTGTGTTGTCATCGAAAGGAGGAGGAAGTCATCCATTGTTGGTACCGTACGACACACTGACGGCAAAGGAGAAGTACAGAGATCGAGAGAAGGCCCAAGAACTCTTTAAATTCCTGCAGGTCAATGGATATGCCATCAGCAGGTCAGTGTTCTCTCAAAACTGTTCTAAATTATCAGAAAAAAAGATTCCATTCAGATGCTCAGGGTCTGTAAGATTTTTAAAGACACTAATACTTTTATTCAGCAAAGATGGATGTTTTTATTTATAATGTTAGAAAAGATTCTATTCTTTTCTGTTCAACAAAAAAAGTTTTTTCACAAAAATATTAAGCAGCACAACTATTTTCAACACTAATGATCAGTTAAAATCAGCATTTTAGAACCATTTCTGAAGGATCATGTGACACTGAAGACTGGAGTAATGATGCTGAAAATGCAGCGTTGACATCACAGGAATAAATTACATTTTAAAAATATATTAGAACAGAAAACAATTATTTTGAAATTGTAATAATAATAATAGTGCTTCAATGTTTGTACCTTGTGTAATATTTTATGTTTGATTTTCAGGAAATTATTGCTACTTTTGTATTACAAACAATTATTGTACAGTGTTGATTTCCAGTCTGGGTCTTGAAACAAAGCCAGAACCACTATACTACAGGATGTTTGCAACATTTTTTCCTGTGCATACGCAGAGGTCTGAAGGACATGGAGCAGGATTCCTCTTCTATGGAAAAGAGGATTGCCTATAAGTTCCTCAAGAGGCTCTTGAATTATGTCGATTCTGCACAGGAGTTTATCGCCCATCTTGGTGAGAAAAAATGATGAATATAACAGATTGATGGACTGATAGAAAATTTGATATGTTAATATAACATATCAAGCTGATCAGTTGTTTTCTCTGCATAACTTTTTCAGAGGCTTTGGCTACCAGTGGGAAGACAGAAAAATCTCCCCATGATCAAGAGATCAAGTTCTTTGCTAAGGTAGTGTTCAGTTTTCAAGCAAACACGCACTTACGCAGAACTGTCTTGAATTTTAATATTCCATAGAAGTTAAAGGCCAAGTTTTTTTTCTTGATTGCTTACAACATAGGTTCTGCTGCCCCTCATAGACCAGTACTTCAAAAACCACTGCTTGTACTTCCTGTCATCTCCCAATATCAGCCTGAGCAGCAGTGGCTACGCATCTAACAAAGAGAAGGAGATGATCACCAGGTGCTGCTGTTACAACAAAGCCAAATTCTTATCCATATTATATAAATGCATGCTGAAAAAGTGTAATAATACTTAATTAGTTAACTTTCAACACATAATAGTATAAACCTATTTATCCAGGATGTGTCAGAATTCCTATTCCTTCAGCGTATATATGGAATTCAGTGAAGTGCGGACTTTTCAGCTTTTTATAAGGTGGCACTTACATTTTAAAGGAGCCATCAAGCTTGGAGTTCTCTGACATTTTTTTGCATGTTCTCTGCATATTCGAATGCAAGGATTGTTTTATGTACATTCATGCTAACTTGAATCATTCTTCCTTAGTCTATTCTGTAAGCTGGCAGCCCTTGTCAGACATAGAATATCACTCTTTGGTAAGACTTCTCAAGAGTATTCAAATGCTTTTTATAACTGAGCTTCATTTTGCCTGACGAACCTCATTCCACAGCTTTAAGACGCTCTGTTCTTTCAGGAAGTGACTCCACCACCATGGTGAGCTGCTTGCACATCCTGTCACGCTCACTGGACTTCAGGTAGTGAGCAAAATCTCAGTGCAGCCTGAATCATTGACCAGCTAACAGTCGTTTTGAACTGATTCTGTTATGACCCGTAGGACTGTGATGAAGTCTGGCTCAGAGCTGGTGAAGGCTGGTGTCAGGACGTTCTTTGAGAATGCTGCAGAAGACCTAGAGAAGACACTGGAGAACTTGAAGCTGGGGAAGATGGGTCAGTCACGCACCCAGATGAAGGGCGTTACCCAGATCATCAGCTACACCTCAGCGGCCCTGCTGCCCATCCTGACGGTTCTCTTTCAGCATATCACCCAACACCAGTTTGGAGTAGAGCTGCTATGTGAGTCAGTTGTTCTTTGACCTACAGTATGATGTTTGTTCTCACGAGTCGATTCTTAAAACATCTCATAATGAGAAACTTATGTAATAAAGACTCATTAAAATTAGAAACTTCTCAGTTTTTCATTATGCTGACTTCCAGAATTATATTTTTTTCCAGATTTTATATTTATTACTGAATTGCCACAGAAATGGGATGAACAGGAAACAGGGAAACAGGAATTCTCATAGAAAATTAATTAAAAAGTTTGTGTAAGCACACCTTTTGCAAGAGTTACTTTTTTCAGTGTATTTGTATCCAAATTATCTCATTATATCTCAAATTATCTCATATTTTCTTGAAAAGTACTAAAATAATATTTAATGTAAGGAACCAGAATCATTAGGAGCTGGATTTCCATGCCTACTTCAATTTGCCATATATTTGCTCGTAAAATAAGTATATTTCTCAAAATAATTGCATTTGTATGTTTCAGTGGATGACATTCAGCTGTCCTGCTACCGCATCCTGACCAGCCTCTACTCTTTGGGCACTGGCAAGAACATCTATGTGGAAAAGTACAAAAAATTAATTTCTGAGGGAACTTTTGGTTTTGTTCTCTGTCTGTTTCTTCATGAAACTGAGACGACTATGTTGGGTTTTTACAGACAGCTTCCAGTGCTGGGTGAATGTTTATCCACACTGGTTGGAGCCATGCCTGTTGCCTTCCTGGAACCCCACCTAAATATGCACAACCCCCAATCTGTCTTCAACACCAAGACACCAAGAGAACGAGCTAGTGAGTATATTTGGCAGGATCGGAGACTATTTGAAATCATTTGGTGTTCGGTGAGAAACCATATAATGAAAATATGGTTCATTTGCAGCCAATCATAATAGGCAGATTGATCTTTTAGTGACAGTGGCATTCTTTTTTTTTTTTTGAAGAAAAAACATAATTTATTAAATTCGCTGCATTAATAATGAATAATTTTACAGTTTTGAGCATGCCAGACACTGTGGATGAGATGTGTCTTGAGATGCCCCATCTGGATGGCCTGATGAAGGACATTGGTGACATTTCTGAATCTGGAGCACGCTACACAGAGATGCCACAGGTCATCGAGGTCATCCTGCCAATGTTGTGTAACTACCTGTCTTACTGGTGGGCAAAAGGCCCAGAAAACTCCCCAGTTGATACCAATTGCTGCACAACTGTCACATCTGAGCATCTCAGCCTAATCCTGGGCAATATCCTTAAGATTCTCAATAACAACCTTGGCATTGATAACGCCCCTTGGATGAAAAGACTTGCAGGTGAGGGTGAACTTGAACTGGTAGTGATGATCACATAGTGCTTTGATACAGGATGATTGCAATGCCTTCTCAAATATCTGTAAACTCTCTTCTATGTAGTATATAGCCAGCCTATCATTAGCAAGGCTAGCCCAGATCTTCTTAGAATGCACTTCCTGCCTACACTGGAGAAACTGAAGAAGAAGACAGTGAAGATAGTGGCTGAGGAGGAGCTGCTGAGGGCTGAAAGCAGGACAGACACTCAGGAAGCTGAACTGCAGATTCTGGATGAGTTTGCTGTTCTCTGCAGGGATCTGTATGCCTTCTATCCAATGCTCATTCGTTATGTGGACAACAACAGGTATTATACCACGACCTGAGAGAAAACTGCTAAACAATTTTGATGCCCACTGCAAACAAATTTAACCCACTACATCTGAAACATTTTAACTTTAATTGCTGCTAAAAAAGTGGTGCAATCTACAGAGATAAGTTAATTGCGCTTTTGTTAATAAGTTAATTTGACTTTTGACTAGATCCAAATGGCTGAAGCAACCAGATTCAGATTCAACTGAACTTTTCAAAATGGTGTCAGAGATTTTCATCCTTTGGTGTAAATCTCATGTAAGTTCTCTGTATGTCTCCAACAAATATTTTCAAGAATTTGCAATTATTTCAAGATTTACAGAGCTGGTTTCTGCTCTTTGTTCATAGAACTTTAAAAGGGAAGAGCAAAATTTTGTGGTGCAAAATGAAATTAACAACCTGGCGTTCCTCACTGGAGACAGCAAGACGAAGATGTCAAAAGTAAGTGTGATATTAAGAATTTGCTAGCTATAAGTAATTGGACCCAAAAGCTCTGAGCTAATTACTTAGCTAAAGAGGAAATATCTTCTGTGTTCATGAAAACAAAAAGGCATTAGAAGAGCTACAGCCATGTGTTTTATGTGTGATATATTGCTTTGTAAAACCAGTCTGGAGGTCAGGACCAAGACAGAAGAGGAAAAAGGAGAAAAGGAGAGTTGTACTCCATTCAGACTTCCCTTATCGTAGCAGCTCACAAGAAGATGCTGCCCATTGGTCTGAACATGTGCACTCCTGGAGACCAGGAGCTTATTTCCCTTGCCAAAATCCGTTATAGTCTGGTGAGTGTATTTCTTGTTGCTTTAATTATGCTTTATTGGAGATCTACAGAACAAACCTCTAACAATTTCTCTGTTTAACAGAAAGACACAGATGATGAGGTTAAGGATGAGGAAATATCTTCTGTGTTCATGAAAACAAAAAGGCATTAGAAGAGCTACAGCCATGTGTTTTATGTGTGATATATTGCTTTGTAAAACCAGTCTGGAGGTCAGGACCAAGACAGAAGAGGAAAAAGGAGAAAAGGAGAGTTGTACTCCATTCAGACTTCCCTTATCGTAGCAGCTCACAAGAAGATGCTGCCCATTGGTCTGAACATGTGCACTCCTGGAGACCAGGAGCTTATTTCCCTTGCCAAAATCCGTTATAGTCTGGTGAGTGTATTTCTTGTTGCTTTAATTATGCTTTATTGGAGATCTACAGAACAAACCTCTAACAATTTCTCTGTTTAACAGAAAGACACAGATGATGAGGTTAAGGATTACCTGAGGAAGAACCTCCATCTTCAGGAGAAGGTCTGGAGAAGCAAATCATAATCTAACATACATGATTAGATGCTGAAGTGTTGACATTGGCTTATTATTGGCATACCTGTCAACACTCCCGTTTTTCCTGGGAGTCTCCCGTATTTCACACTCATCTACCGCACCCCTCCCGTTTTGTTATTTCTCCCGCGAAACTCCCATCATTTGCGTGTCCCAAACCTCGTTATATGAATGATCACATCAATATATTATCCCAAGGTTGTCCAGCTGCCAGATCTTGTATGAAACGCATCCTACTCACACAATCGATACATCATACAAATTTCAACCCATTTGTGACCTCAACCTGGCAACCTAAAACCCAGTTGCGCTGTTGATATCTGCGCAGGTGGCAGACGTGGGAATCAAGCGAAATGGGAGGAGAAGACTCGGGTGGTGCTCCGGCGAAACAAACTAAATATACATGTAACTTTAACTAAAAAAAGTCTATGCATGACCTGGTGTTTTATTCGTATCTGAAATGAGGAGATGTGAACATTACGGAGCGCTAAACACTCTCATGCAGTGTATGTTTCATTCATACTCGGTTTATATATGGTTTATGTGTGTTTTTCAAGTCATTTCCAGGCAATATATAAAGTATCTGAATGATGCAGTGCTAACTGATATAGCATTTATTACAGTAGCCTATAGAAACTAAACAATATATTTTGAATTAAATTGACAATTAGGAAAATATAGGAAAAAATATTACAGAATACAAATTGTTTTCACCAGTGTATTTGATTTCGTAGTCAATTAAAAGAGATAAGAAAAAAACCTTTCGGAGCTCATTTCCCTTGCCAAGATCCGTTACAGTCTGGTGAGTGTATTTCTTGTTGTCTTAATTATGCTTTATTGGAGATCTGTAACAAACCTCAAACTGTTTCTCTGTTTAACAGAAAGACACAGATGATGAGGTTAAGGATTACCTGAGGAAGAACCTCCATCTTCAGGAGAAGGTCTGGAGAAGCAAATCACAATCTCACATACATGATTAGATGCTGAAATGTTGACATTGGCTTATTGGTGTTTCTTGTCCCATCACAGTCAGCAGATCCAGCAGTGCAGTGGCAGGTGAACCTCTATAGAGATGTTGTGGTGAAGAATGAGGGACCTCCAGACCAAGAGCATAATGTGGAGAGAGTTCAATCCATCTCCGCTGCTGTCTACCACCTTGATCAGGTACAGCTGGCATAAAAATGAAATTCACTCGTGATATGTAATGCCATTTCCTCATCTGCCCACACTGTGTCAGCAACCTTATTTATTGGTTAACACTTCACAGTAAAGTTCAATTTGTTAACTTTTGGTTTCATGAACTAACAATGAGCAACACTTTTAAAACATGTATTAATCTCGGTTAATGTTAATTTCTACATATACATTTTTAACATTTTATTTAGGGCTAAGAAAAATAATTCATTTCTGTGATTAATATTTGTACACATTAAAGATTAAAGGGTGGGGGCGTGTTAGAACGAGCCGTTTTAGGGGGGCGTGGCAGAGTCTTAACTTTGATAAAGAATATCTCTTTGGTTTTGAGACTTTAGTCTTTGCAACTTCAGGTATCTTATCTATTCACGAACAGCTTGTAACACTCCAAAGAGAAAGGAAAACTTGAAATCGCATCATATGACCCTTTAATGCATTAATGCAGCATCATTTTTTCACTTGCTGAAGTAGTTATGCTAATGTCTTTTCTCCACATCCTTTGGCTAGCATTACAGTATATGATCACGTTATCTGTGTGGCGTTAATGTTTTAGGTTCACTTAAATTAAAAATTGTTATAATATTTTTAATGTTCTGTAATTGTTAATAAATAAAACCAATATAATAATGTGTCTGTCATAGTTAGGCCTAGTTAGTAAAATATGCCATTAAACAAATATATTTATTATATTTGTAACAGATTTAATATATCCATTATTTACAATACTGAATTTATGTTGTTTCTACATCAGTTTGGAGATTCAATGTGAAAATTATATTTATAATTACAAATTTGAATGTGTAATTTGTCAAGATTAATCACATAATGACATTTTTTTTAATTAATCGACACCTAGATTAATAGGTGTTGATGAACCCTAGATTAATAAATGTTTATTGTTAGTCGATGATACCTGACCACTAATTTTGATAAAATCACAAATTGTGATTTATTTACCCAAAGATGTTACATTATCTTGATTTTATTCAGTTTCCTGTCTTGGACTGCTATTTTTGTCTTCAACAGCGAGTAGACAAATACATTTTACTTTATAACACTAGGAAATAAAACATTTATTTGTATTAAACTTTACATATATTTTACTCTCAGGTTGAACAGCCGCTGAGGAACAAGAAGATGGTGTTTCAAAAGCTGCTGTCAAAGCAAAGAAAGCGTGCCGTGGTGGCCTGTTTCCGCATGGCACCACTCTACAACTTACCAAGGTATGTCCTTGGAAGCCTTTAAATTAGAATTACAGCTTTGCAATATTCATTCACAGCATTCAGCTTTAAAATATACTGACTCAATAGGAACTTCTGAAAGTTTCCTTGATAGCTATTCCTTCCTTCCAAATGCATCTGAATGCATTCTATACTCCCTCTATCCTGTTTAAATGTGCTGCAAAGTGTTTTACTTGGTGCTTTTCCGTGCTCCTTTCTTCCTCCTCCTAAAACCTGTCCCTTTCTGTTGTCTCCATAACACACCTCAGATACAAAAATAATAATGACTTCCTGAATGGCTATCGGTACGTTTGGCTGGAAAAGGTGTACCATACCTCCAGCTTTGACCGTCTGTTCTCCATGCTAACGGTAATGTCAGACTAAGAGAACTCATGATCCCAAACTCCTCGTCCTCCTCCTCCTCTTCCATTCTCCAAGCTAAGGGCTGAGCACAAGCATACAGTTAGCGCCGCCACTCTGAATGGTCACCTTCGGTTTCTGCCGGGTCTCTTTGCTTTTATGTAGCGACGGGAAGTTTCAGGGTGGGTGGAAGATTCTTGACCTCAAGAGTTCTTTGTGCAACAGTGATCATTTAAATGGTAGCTTTCATGGACTTCCTCATTAAGGTGACCAGTCAGATGAGGCCATGGACTGTACATCTTCCTCTCACACCACAGAATGCACCTCCTTCCTTCATCTTCCTCTTAACCTCCCTCTCCCCCCCCCACTCTTCAGGCATCGCTCGATTAACCTCTTCCTCAGTGGCTATCAGAGACTTTGGATAGAGACAGAGGAGTACTCCTTTGAGGAGAAGCTAGTGCAGGACTTGGCAGTAAGTACCGGGCTGGCATCAGCGCTGCCCCGTGTGCTGTGTGTGCCTGCTGGTGCCTTCTCGGTGGCCGAATGCTCTGTGGCCAGCATCGTGCCCGCTAAGACGCGGGAGCACGTCTCTGCCCGCCTCATGTACTCATCCTGGCCTGTGTTCAGCTCTGCTGGTTGCGTGACACACTACCGACCGAGGCACAGCAGCCAAGGCATGCATGACTTTCGGCTGAGCCTCAGTTCCCGCCATCTCACTAGAAAAGCAGTCCGTTTCAGCGCAGCCGTGGTAAGAGGAGCGGATTTTCCCCGCGATGCTCTGCTTTGTTCTTTGGGTGTCGTCTTTCTTTCGTAAGTCTCATTTGTTGTGAGAGTCAGTGGCATGTTCACCTCATGTAGAGATCATGTGTCAGCTGAAGTTCAGTCTGCGGTGTAAATCGACCCGCCTGATTTGCGCGTCATAATTAAGAATATATTCATTAATGAATGGGAATTATTTTGAGTCGTGATGAAATATTTAATTGACTCTGGAATAAATTCTTACTGTTATTGTTATTAATGGTAAACACTGATAATTTGACACTCATTCAAATCTTGTGAAGACACCCTTTTATTAATATTTGTTTAATAATGAAAAAAATCCATTTGCAATAGTACTTAACACTTACACACTGCAAATCCATTTCCATTGCCGTGTCTCCATGTGATTTTGCATGTTTATCCTGAGCTGGTCATTGGTCTCTGTGTTATTCTGGAGCATCCGATCAGACTCCAGTAACCATGCTCAGGTCACTATGTCATCCCAACAAGTGTTTCTCAGTTGAGGCCCAGTGGACGTCCAAGATCCAACAAATTTAACCCAGTTGTGCTGCACATCTGATCCAAGTTTAAAGATTAGATTTAAAGTTGCTTCACGGGGCCTGAACAGAGAGACACTGTCTTTGTGTAAAATAACTGCATGTCTAATTTAAATCCAGAGCCTCTTGCTACAAGATCAGGATGCAAACTATTGGAGTCATAATGCTGAAAATTATTGTAATGAAACTAAATTGCATAGTGTCTAATGTGTTTATTTCATATGTTTATTGTCATATCAGGGAGAATCAGCTTTTAGTGTTTTAAAAAGGTTTTTTGGTGTATGTGATGTAATGGTTTGACTTGTAATACTGAAGAATTTATTTGTTTCGGGCTGTGCACCATTGAGAATTGAGAATTTAGCTCCTAAATTTGAACTGAAGTACTGTAGAACAGGAAGCAGAAATATAATTGTAATTTGAATTGAAGGAAGTAGAATTAAACTGAATGAGTTCAAAGAAATTCATAGTAGTTTTTAATACATTTCATTTTTTCAGTATGAATTACACATAAACAAGTTATCATACATGCAGCTATTGCTTTATTTTCCAGACTGCTATAATTTATCTCTTCAAGCTGTTTATAAGACTTAGAAGTGATCTGCTATTAATATTTTGCTGTAGTGTTGGCTACTGTTGAGTTTCCTTTACTTGTAGTTCCAATTCATCATCCTATGGGACATGGCCAACAGAATTCAAATTTACACTTAAATGAAAGGGAGCCAATTCTTAAATTCTGAATTTAGCCCAGCCCTGGTAATAAGGTAGATGAGCATGGTTTGAGTGAAAGGGTGATTGCAGTGTCAGAGTGTGTTTGTGCGTCATCATTTGGTTTATAAACAAATTTAAATGACAGCTGTCATAGAAACTAAGGTCTATAAAATTATACTTCTGATTATAGCACAAAAAAAAATAAAAATGTGGGGGATAAATAGAGTTAGAGAGAAAAAGAAAGCTGGTGATCAACAGATTGCGGAAAACTTCTGTTTTTATAACTTCAGTGGCTCTTCCTGCAGAAAACTCCCATGACTGTGGTAGAGGAAGAAGAGGAAGAAGAAGCTGCAGTTCAGCCAGACCCTCTTCATCAGCTCATCCTTCACTTCAGTCACAATGCTCTGACGGAGAGAAGGTTAGTACATAGAAGTAAATACTTACTAATTCAATAATAGATAAACAACTGACTCCTTTTTTTGTAGTTTTCTAGAAGAGGATCCTCTCTACATTGCATATGCTGACATGATGGCGAAGGTCAGTGTTGTATTTAATTAAATTAACGCTTAATTTATATTAATCCTTCTTAATTTATATTGTAAATGTTTTAAAGAGTTTCAGTTGAATCAATATTTTAATTTACAGAGCTGTGCCGAGAATGAGGAAGAAGAAGAGGAAGAGGAGGGAAAAGAAAAAACATTTGAGGTATTAAAATCCTGGACTTTAATTAAAGGAGCAAAAAAAAAATCTTAATGAAAAAGAACGCATATGATGTTTCATGGACTGTAAGCAATGTAAATTTCAACACTTTTGATGTCTCTCACAGGAAAAAGAAATGGAGAAGCAGAAGATTCTGTACCAGCAGGCCAGACTTCACGCCCGAGGGGCTGCTGAGATGGTGCTACAGATGATCAGTGCCAGTAAAGGTACACGTCTCTATTTCTGACCCCTTTTGCTCTCTCTAAAGTCCTAATTCATTGGATTTCCTAAAGCAGCATTTGTTTGCTTGCAGGCCGACTTGGTCCTATGGTGACTGGCACCCTTAAATTGGGCATTTCTATCCTAAATGGAGGCAACGTTCTTGTCCAGCAGGTAAAGCTCTGTCAAATTGACTAGGCAAATGTTAGTTTTGTCTCACAGAGGATACTGAGCTCAGAAAATGTGTTAATGCTTTATAATTCTTTAGAAAATGCTGGATTATTTGAAGGAAAAACGAGATGCGGGCTTCTTTAAAAGTTTATCCGGACTAATGATGTCTTGCAGGTGGGTGTGAACAGTTTTGCGCTTATCCATTTTGCCCTACAGTGATTATTAATTCTGACTCTGTATCTCTGGCAGTGTGCTGGATTTAAATGCATTTGAAAGGCAAAATAAGGCAGAGAGTCTTGGAATGGTGACTGACGAGGGGTCAAGTAAGCCAATAAGCTTTATTCTTCTCTATCTGCACTTTTTACTGAGTACTGTGATTAATTAGTTGATGTATTTGAGAACAACATCTGCATTGTATCTCTCCTGCCATTAGGCTACAAAACACAAGTTTTGTGTTTGTATATACTGTATATGCAGAGTATATTAGCTTCTTTTTAGTACTGTACATCATTGGCAGTGGTATCAGTTTTGGTCCTTCCTTTGGCCAGCTGGCAAATGCTGCACTCTGATAACTTTGTGAATTGCACTGTTAATAATGTGTGTACATGTATTCACTGCAACAGTGGAAGTTGCAATATTTTCCTCATGCAGTGTCAAATGTCTATGTGATGCCATTAACATTAAATGTTTCATTGTCCAGTAATTTAAAGGGCTTCATCTTCAAAGGTGAAATGAAGGACCACGGTGGTGTGATTATGCTATGCACAACAACTTTAGAGAGAGAAAAAATAATACAATAATTAGGACACACTTCATTAATTCTGAGGAATGTAAAATATGTAAAAATTAATATATGAATATTGTTGCTGAAGGTATTTCTGACAGGGCTGAGGTAAATGTTTTAGGGTTGTTTCTTCATTGTTTGGTTTGCTTTTACCCCAAAATAATAAATAATAATTTTGATAAATAAATTTCTGACAGGGTTGAGGTGAATGTGAGCTTTTTTCCAAACTTTTGGTTTGCCTGATTCACCCCAAAATGGGAAAAGAATTGCTTTGGGACATAATTTCCTAGACAAGTACCCAAGCATACTGTAATCTCTCTGGATGTTTTATTTATTTTACTTTTCATTATTCTGATTATAACTACTGTAACACAGTAATGAGAATCATCTCATCCATTTTTATTAAAATAAAATGTTATTAAAATTAAATTATTTAAGTATATGAATTTTAGCCTTACTTTAACGAGAAAGTATTTTATACAGCTGAGTACATTTTTATTCAACTTTATATACATTCTAATTTCTGATTTTTTACACTTTTGATTTTGGGGTGAAATAAATCCCAGATGTATACAACCCAGATATATAGAAATACAACCTAGATATATTCTTGAAAGGCTTGGAGAGTTTGACCTACAGTAATAGCTTTTATTAGCCATATTGCTGAAAGGCAACAGACATCAAGTATGATACAGAACATGACTAAAACCACTGCACTAGAAATAATACTAACACCTTCTTTAACTACTGATTTTGCAGGATGACCCTATACTCACAAAACAAATAAAGCCTTGTCCGATCCCAGTGAATAATCTGATGTATATGTGTTACACAGTATGTGGTCCTGCTTGAATTTCATTTGTTATGGGTTGCATCTTAATAAAAACAAGAGGTCTTACATTCCATGAAACACATCTAAACATCTGTAACTGCATGTCCATCCTCTCACTAAAAGTTCAATGACTCTTCTGATTTCTTTCTGAAATTCAGTCTTTCTCCATTTGCTTATGTCTGCTCTCTTTGTTTGTTTTCCATCATTTTATACTGGACTGCAGTCAACGTGAAAGAGAGGGGTAAATATAGTTTAGCTACTCATTTCGCAATGCTGAATCCTGGCATGTCGCAATTTCGCGAAACTTTTTCTTCTCCCCTGCTATTGGTGATATGAATGCACTACTTTTCAGGGCTGGCTTGTAGAGACTAATGCATGCTGACACAGAATTAAGACAGAACTAAGACTAAAGCCAGGCTCATTTACCTAACCTAACTTTACTAAACTAGTTCACTAAATGGGAACATTTTGCCTTCCATGTGAACATTACGAATCATCTGTATTCATACAGTGTTGAAAAAAATTCATATATGTTCAAAGAGGTGTACACTCAGCTAAAGATTATACCACAGCTACAAAATGAGCAAAGAGCTTTGCCATGCTGTGAATCTGGGGCTATTTCACAAAGCTGGTTTCTCACATGACTAACTTTCACAAGGATGACTTTGTGTACAATATGATACAACAGAATCATTAAAATCATGTCAAGTATTACTGTCAAGTATTGCTGTACACCGTTCTTGTGAAAGTTACCTCGCTAACCCAGCTTCTTGAAATTTCTGTCATTTCTGTGTATTAATCGACAAGCCTTTCTTTTTCCAGTCAGTTCTTGGGATGCAGTTGTGAGCCTACAATCTAAAGCAAGCTCCCAAAAAATGTGCTAGTCACCTGCTTGCTTGAGACTGATGTAAATGTCATTTAGTTTGGCTTTAAAAATATGGCCCAGAAATAATTGCAATTCTGTCATGTTTTAAGGTTCCAAAGTACTACAAAATGATGACTTTACAAAGGATCTGTTTAGATTTTTGCAACTTCTATGCGAGGGGCACAATAATGGTAAGACTGAAAAATGGCATATATTTTTTCTATGTAATGCTGCTTTTTTAAACTAAATAAAAATATGAACTAATTATACTTTTAATTATATTAACATTTATTAAACACAATGTTTAATACATTTACAGAAAAACAATGATTTGCAAGGCATTACCAATGAACCAAGAATTAAGATTTCACAGAAAAACTATGCTTCACTGCATATTCTTTACTATTTACATTTTAAATTTCCTCAACAGATTTCCAAAACTTCTTGCGGACCCAGAGTGGAAACACTACTACAGTCAACATCATCATTAGCACTGTGGACTACCTATTACGTCTACAGGTAACACAAACTAAATACATACAGTATGTAGATGTGTTATATAGCTTTGAATTCTCAGGAATCTGCTCAACTTGAGTCCTCTGTAATGGTCAAACTTGTTTTCACCACCAGGAATCTATAAGTGATTTCTACTGGTATTACTCTGGGAAAGATATCATGGATGAGGCTGGCCAACTTAACTTCTCCAAAGCTTTGGCAGTAGCCAAACAAATCTTTAACTCACTCACTGAGTACATTCAGGTAATGCATATACTCTACACTAGTACTCTATATTAGAATTCAGTGGATGTCTTTGCATTTCATAAGACTGTATTTTCTCATTTTAGGGCCCTTGTATAGGGAATCAGCAAAGTTTGGCACACAGCAGGTTGTGGGACGCAGTGGTCGGGTTCCTGCATGTTTTCGCAAACATGCAAATGAAACTGTCACAGGTAACCAGTCAGGCCACTGTTAATGTGTAGCGATTACCAAATAAGACAAGAGGGTCTGGCTGCAGACTTGCACTTGCACTCTCAGACTTGCATTCTCAGACTTGCACTCTCAGACACTTGC